AGCATGGAAGTAGAACATGTATTCTCCACAGAAAAAAATACACAATCAGTTTGCCCTGCACTGCAGACTGACTTTTTTCTCCCACCCGTCAGACAGCTTTTGCTTATTTTTATGCAATGAAGATTGACTTGTGTCGTTTGCTTTCAGGAGGCTTACAAAGGAAAATGGTAGTTCATAGTGTATACTGTGACCACCATGATGAAATGCAATGCAATAAAACTGACCTAAACATCTTATTTATAGTGTAGTGTTTGTCAAATTCACAGGCTTTACTACTTATGTTTTTGTTGTTGTTGGCAGACTTCTGCTGTGCACTTTCTGGCTGGTTATTTCAAGTGTTATATATTATTTCATCATACTGAAATGTGTCGAGCTCATTTACCTGTTCTGTATGTAGGCTTAAAAACTGTAAGGAAATCAAACATCATTAAATATACAGTTTTCAAAACTGATTGCAGAGTTAAATCAACACCTTTCTTACAGAAGTGCAATAACATATAAACATCTGTACGTAATGGGAAACTGAAGTAAAGCCAACGATGACTTATAGCATTGTTATAGCACACACTGTTAAATAGTGCACCAAGTGAAGAAGGGGGCTGTGGCAGCATCATTAATAAAATAAGTGTATTGGCAGAGTGACAGTAAGAAGTGTCAGGCGATAATGGCCACAACGTAAACTTGCATGATTGTGATTGGGCGTTACAGGTCAGCTGACACCTACACGGCAGGGGCACATTCATTTAAAAAAACTATGCAATATCATGCTCCCTTTCTGCTTTGAGCTTGATGGCATTTTTTTCTGGTGGGTATGTCGAAGGTTTTACCCAATCACAAGCAACATATCTTAGAAACGCTACTGTAGAAAAATTCAGTGCATTTGTGTCACATACCATTTCTCTTCAAAATACATTTAGGCTTCTTTTTCTTGTCTGTATAAGGCCTTTGAGTTAAATGATTAAATTGTGAAAAATGGACAAAAAAAAATCAGTGGATGCAAGATAGACTTCAATCCTCTGCACTAATTCCTGGAAATATTTGAAAACAAACTTATAAGTGGGAAAATAAAGTTAATAATATGCCACGATTTGTTCATGACCCCAACTGGATTCTGTGGAAAAACAGAAACCACAAACACTGACAGACAGCCAAAGATACTGTGTGTGTTTGTTGGTAAAATATCACACACAAATGTCTCAGGCCCAGGCACAGGGGTGGAAAGACAAACCACTTTGCACACATGGACACATTCAGCTTCACCACCAAAACTAATCACAAGCTACAAAGACCTCAAACACATTTCCTCTTTTTTATTTCATAAAAATGTAATACTTTCCATAACTACAGAAGCCTGTAATCATCAAAACAAAGTCAGTGAAGACTGGGAGAGAGAAAACTGTCACACAGCACTGTTTACATATCCCAAACCTGTTAATCCCCTCCAATTGTACTTTGAAGTAGCTTAGAGGACTTTTATCAATAAATAGAGCAGAGCCGAGGGTGTAAGCTACTCATACACCAGGCTCACGTCCCCGTGCACACAAAGAGCAGAGGCTGACACCCTGTGTGTATGGACAGCACGGAAATGGAAATCAAGAGTATGGTTAGAGTAATGGGATGGAAACAGACTGATTCTTCTTGCTGTCCAATTTCAGCCACAGTTCGGAGAAGATTTTCACAGGGATGACAATTTTGCAGATATGTATGAATGTACCCAGAATTTTCTAACACACCACAACAAGAACAGGTCTGACGTGTTTATTTTCCCCAAAGGCTTAAGGCCTTTGCATACTGAGTCTGTTTTCATTGATACAAAGTTACTGCACGCTTAAAAGATATACAATTTGATATTTGTGTCAATCATGTCTGCAGACTGAATGCAAAACATAATGTCTTTTGGCATGTGTTAAATTTTTCTGTGTTTTTTTTTGGGGAGTTTTTGTGTGTATGTCTGACCCCACCTCAACCATACTGTTAGCCACTGTTCACGATCAATTGCATAGTGGAAATTGGTGGTGTTCTTTTTTATGTGTAGTTTCAGTATTCGCTAGCAGCGTATCAATCTAGAGCACTGACTCCTGAAATACACCTTGAAGAGATCAGGATAATTTTACAACTCCTTTATCAACAGGTGGAACCCTCCTTGCTCGTCTTGTTTTAATGATCGGATGGACTAAGTGTTTTATTTTCCTTTTTTCAAGGAGTGAAAGAACCACAAATTAATCTTCACTGCTTGACGACTTCATTTAGCCCTTTACTGCGAATTTCCGCAGAGTCAGTGTGCAAGGTTTGTATGCCTAACCTTTCTTATTGGATTAGAGATCCAAAAAATGCTTCTGAGAAAAAAAAAAACAGACTCAGTGAGCAAAGACCTTTACACTGACAGGATTCCAAATTTCACAGTATGGCAACTTAGACAATTTTGGGAAATATGCTTATTTGCTGTTTAAGATGAAGAGATCGATTCCAGTCTCATTTCTGTACAGTAAATATACGCCTACAGCCAGTTAGCTTCGCTTAGCATGGAGAATGAAAAGAGGAGGAACAGCTAGCACTGCTATGTCAACCACTAACAAAATCCCTCTGTCAATACCTCTCAAGTTACATTATGAATATGTTCAATCTTTGTTTTATGTGTACAAAATGAAAAGAGTCTCATGGGCGGTTCAGAGCCAGTCTATGTCTTGGCCAAAAGTGACCTACTGAAGTCTTTGCTAGTTGCCTAGCAAGCTCACAGTGATAACACACCATTAAACTACAAGTTGTTGTTTTCATACCTCAGGTTTTGTAGAAATAAAAAAACAATCTTATGTAAAACTAGAGGCCTTCACTGGTGCTGACAGCAGATATGAAATTAATCTATCAGTTTCCTGCTATTTTCAGTCTTTATGCTAAGCTAAGCTAAACTAAATTAAGCTGCCTCCTCGAAAAGCCCATACAAGCTCGATTCCCATGAAAAGCAAAGTATTACTTTTAATCGCAACCATAGTGGTACCAAAGGGGTTCTTTTAATGATCTCAGCTGTAATCTTTCAAATGGGTCATGTTTTTCCAACAGTAATGCTGTAACAGGAGGATTGATGTCATAAATTCACCAGGTGCTCAATGATTCAAGGAACCCAGATCTTTATCAGGAACAGAGTAGACTGCACAGGGCACTTTGGCACTTTTCATCATCTACTATATCACAGGAGGATATAGTGTATAGCTAATGTAATATATAAGCTTTTTTTTTTTAATTGTGTTAAAGTCAGTCAGACTTGATGTTCTTGATGTGTTCAAAACAACCTGTGAAAGTCTGAAAGTTCTCATTATCATCAAAGCACACACACACACACACACACACACACACACACACACACACACACACACACACACACACACACAAAGAAAAAAAAACATATGTTTTAGTAAAACGTTACATCTATTAAGACTGTAAGTAAATAACTCACCCCAGAACTCCATTTACATTCATTGTGATCTGGGCCTTATGGAAGTCAAGACACAGAAATGAAAGAAAGTAAACAAATGGACAGCAGATAATACAGACCATAATGATATCGCAAGGATGCCCTGAAATGCTCATCATTCTGCTCTGTTTTGCGTAGCATATTTATCGTCTTTACATGTATCAGTTTCTTATCACACATATTGTACACAGCTTTACGCCCACACATGAACATGACCCACTCAGACCCACCCAGGCTTCCACTGAAGAGGCTACATATGCTGAAAAACCGAAACACCAAACTGAACCTCTACCCAGTCTGCATTCATGAAGGTCTCACTCATACCTACTGGCTGGGTTCCCCTTTGGGTTCTTTAGTGCTCAGGTTACACTATAAATATGTATGACAGGTAAAAAAGAAAGAAAGACTGATTTGCGGTTAAACATGGATTGTTTCAGAGTGTTGAAAAGCCTGTGGGAGCAGGTCATGTGTGTGCAGAGAAATATAAAATGGATTTATATGTTGAGACTTTGAACTGTATGTTGTGCTTCCTGTACTCCAACATAAAACATTTATCATAAACCTTTGAATAGAGCTTCTTTAACATTTACAAGTTATACAGTTACCAAATTGGTTTACTTCTTATGCTTCCATCAGCTTTGATACTTAAGCAATGCAAAGGGAGACAACAAGAAGAGAAAAGTAAGTTAAGTCATCTTCAACAGAAAAAAAACAAAAACAAGACACAAGTCCTTAAAACATTTGTCATAACCAACAATGAACGGAATTTTTCAATTTTCTTATTTTCTCTTTTTTACAATACATTTTTTAAAAACCCCGCTGGTTAAGGTTATGGTCTCAGGTAGATCTTCCACAGTCAATCTTCACAGTTTGTGTAAAAGCAGAGAAACATTCTCGCTAGAGTAATAAAATATCATGACTATTATTATGGTCATTATAATCTTTTATTCTCCTATTGTTCCATATAAATGGTGGAGGATTAGGGGGGGCGAGGCGTATCGACCGAATGAAGAGCCTGCAGTCCCAAAGTTCACCCTCTCCTCCCTGTACAACGCAGTGTTTAATTCAGTTATTTTCTTTTGTTAAAAAAATGCTTGACCTCAGGGGAGGAGAATTATGGGAAGAGAGAGTCATTCGACAAAGTGTCTTCATCCTCTGGTAACATCAACTGTCACAACTGTTCTTCTGCAAAAAAACAAAAACAAAAAAGATCCACAGCCTCACTTTCACTGTGTTTATCAGAATGGTTTCCAAATCTGCCCGGTCCGCTACCTTCACATTGAACTACGCGTAGGCATAGGCTCAGGCGCATGCACACACACAAACACACTCTCACACACACACACACACACACACACACACACACACACACACACACACACACACACACACACACAAAGAACACACAGACACACACACACAGACACACACACACACACACACACAAACAATCACACACACACACACACACACACAAACAATCACACACACACACACACACACACACACACACACACACACACACACACACACACAACACACACACACACACACACACACACACACACACACACACACACACACACAACGGTCCCATCAGGCGTTAGATCCTTGTGTAGCACAACCCTTCTTAACACGCATGCCCTCCCATCAGCACTTGTGGGGCAAAAGAAACGTGTAGAAAATAGCCCATCAGAGGAAACACGGACAGAGACGTGTCCGATGTTGATTAACACCCAGGCTCACGATTCGGTTTGTAATCTGAAGGCACTTTGTTTCATGGCAGAAAGTAAAGTGGCTTCTTTTCCACAGGCGGACAGTTCTCTACCTTCTGTCTTTTCAGCTCATCCTCCACTCCTCTTCTCTCTCATTTCGACTCCTTGAAATTCTCTCTGCTCTCGTGTCCAGCCTCCTACACCTCCGCTGATTCGTCTGCATTTTTTTTTGTTCTGCCACCATAGCGTTGTTTGGCCACTTGGACTCGTGAGCACAGTGTTAAAAGATACATAGGCAGCTACAAGGGAGTAAGCAGACAGAACTAAATGTTGCCAGAGTCATTGTTTCTCCACAGTTCAGCACCGAGCAGATGAAGAAATGTCAAGGTGTGACGCGAGACTGGGCCAGATTGAAAAACAAGAGTGGGTGATTGGCATCTGGTGCGAGTAGATGAAGATAAAAGATGCACAGAGAAAGGTCTGATTCCATGTATTTGCAAGCGGGGAAATGTTATTTCCTCCGCTAAAAGTCAGCAGTGTCTATATAATCTGCCGCCTTCCAAAGATATTTTCATAACTTCATAAAATTGTTCTTGTGCTTTACAAACTGTCCTCCCCCAAACTCTTTCCCCAAAGTCCAGGCTTATTCATCCCCCACCTGTCTTTGTGCTCAAAAAGACGTCCAAAGTCCTGCACTAAGGAGTGTTTTCTGTAAAAGAAGTCTCTTTAAAAAATTAGCGCAGCTTCTTTATTAATTTTTGTCCGTCTTTTTATCTCTGTTTTTCTCTTTTTCATCAAAATCGGTCCCTCAGGGTGGCGTCACGGGTCCCCTGCTGCTTTCATGATGCATGAATCTTTGGTGATTGGATGCCGAGGGTTAAGTTCACAGACAGTGGGTCTGAATATTTGCCTCTGAGATGATGGAGTGAAGGGTCACCTCTGACCTTCCAGGAGGGTCATCACCAAGGTGACGCATAGCAGCCATATATGGGAGGATGTGGATAGAGCCCTGGAGCTGAGATCTACAACAGAAGAAGAAAATAAAGGCAATGAATTAAAATAATGTTATTTTGCCAACACAATATGCATGAATACAGAAAAAAGAAAGAAAGAAAGTACACAATATGAGCAAAGTGCATTCATATTAAAACTTAATTCCTTTTTCTTGTCTTGCCAATGGTGAGCTTAGAAGATTGATACCACTTTCATGTTAAGATAAGTAAGGTAACTTTATTTGTACCCGGAGGTAGATTTGGTTCACATTGAGTGAGTCAGCCTCTTTTTACACACAATGGACAGCCCAGGATAGGACAAACATGATAAAGTGACAACAGGGCTCAATACTAAAATAATAACCCTTTGTAAAAACAAGTTAAAATAACCCTTCCGAAAGAACAATGCAAATAAAAACAAGATACAAATAAGAATATAAACAAGTAAAAACATGCTCAGTAAAAAATGTGTAAATAAAGTATAAATGAGTCCTCAGTTAAAACAGGATAAAGGAAAACAAGTATGTATGTGTATGTATGATTCTTTTAAAGGGACGGTCAACAGCTTATTAGCATAGCTTAGCATAATGCCTGATAACATTGGAAACAGCAAGCTTTTCCATACCTAAAGAATCAAAAAACAATTAGTTAATGATAAATTGTGATTTTGTTTGTATTACACTTTGTTTTATGCTCAAACAAAATAAATATAAAGGGATTAAAAGTGACCTTCACATCAGATGCTTTTTGTCACATTTGCCCTCATGAAGGCTTTGTTTCCCATGCGATCTTTATGCTAAGAAAAGCTAACTTTCACCTCTCTGCAGTTTACTATTTTACCCACACAGACATTAAAGTCAGGTCAGTTTTCTAACACAAATTCTCTCCAAGAAAGCAAATACATGCACTCCCAAAAATAGGCAATTATTCAAACTATTAATACGTTTCTTATAATCAAATGAAGTCATTCATGATTCATCCTGTGAGATTAAATTAGATATATTTTTCAATAATAGTCTGATCCTGATCTGGGTAACCACTTAATTACTCCTAATTAATTATTGTTGTGTAATTTAAAACAAATGAATAGTTATCTTGCATTCATTTGGTATGTTTAACTGGATGTCAGATTTGAGAAGCTTCTATAAATAATGGTTCTCCATCCATTTATAGCAGAAATGAATACAAAGCAGTGCTATTTGTCGTCTACAAATGTCACCTTGTCAATTTCATCCCATTTTCTACGTCCTGCTTTTTGTTTTTACCTTCTGTTTGTTCCAGCAGAGCAATTACACTGCTGCACTCAGGCTATCATTCATGTGATTACAACGCTGTTGCTATGGAAACCATGCACCCCCCCCCCCACACAACCCTTCCTGACATGGTAGTTGAATGCAGGGAACAGACTGAGATTAGATCCCTCTCTCATAAATCTCAACCCTGTCCAGTGTTTTAGAGTAAGACCCCCTAAAGCTCAGAGAAGAGGGGAAACAGAACCAGGTGCTACTCACTGGGCGGTGGGTCTCGACACTCCCCTTCCTCCAGCGTAACATCATCGATGGCGATGTCTCCCTCGATGCCTGGTCCCCTGATACCTTCAATTACCACCTACAGAGAGAAAAAGTTATTTTTCTTTTTACATGTTCGGCCTTGATCAACCACAAAAACAAGGACGTTAGCGTTGCTGTGAGATAAAAATCTGTGTAAGAAAACTGAGTAATTTTGCTAAATGGCTCCTTATAATAATAACAGCAGGTGGTGAGTGTTTGTTTCAGTTTTTAATGTCACAAAATATAAAACTAAGAAAGCATGTGGAGTGAAAGCCGTTAGGAATGAAACGGTAACAAAAAAAAAAAGGCAGAAGTGCGGCTGAAACTATAATTACTTTCCACAACTGCAGCCATAAAAATGATGGAGAATATTGCAGTTCTATATTCGCTCCTCTCAAAGATTAGACTTCCTGATGGCAAAGCATGAGTGATATTGCTTTCTCAACTGCAAACAATGAGTATGGATCCCGTCCACTTCTCTGCTTAATATAAAGGCTTTTGAAGTGCTCCATCAATATGCAGCCCCCGGGGAAAATAAGACTTCAACACACACACATACACACACACACACACACACATATTCAGAGCAAAACACGGAGGGTGTAACACTGTGTACTGAATTGATTACGTGTTTTAAGTCTCACCTGGAACGATGCAGTTGGGTGGATGCTTACTTTGGCCTGCTTCCACCGGTCACCTTGGTTACCACTTAGCGACCACACGGGACCCTCAGAGGCCGTCTGGCCCTTCTGCTTCAGCAAGGCGTTTAGTGTTCCTGCGTGAGGGAGAGAGACAGTCACACATATGGGTCAGTGGGCACACGCATAACCTGAGTCCGATACATTTAGAATAGTCCTGCAGCACTGTTCTGTCAGGGGTTAGAGTGGATTCTTCTTCTTATTAACAGAGTACTGCAGTGAAGGCTATTGTTCAGTAAATGGTTGTTTTTTCTCTCGTGCATTCTGTCAGTCCTCATGTTGGACCATCAACAGCAACTTACTGATCTTTTTAATATGTATTATTATATTACTTTACTTGTTGTTGTTTTGTTGTTTCACCAATTTTCAGTATAAAGTGTGAATTCTGTGTGAGATCAACAGTAAGTGTAGCAGTGAGGTCCATCCATATCTTTACGTCAGCAAGTAACCACACTGCAGTGGTGTAATGTAACAAAATAAAAGTACTTTGTTACTGTACTTAAGTATTTTTCTGGGAGCTTCTGTTCTTTACTATAGTTTTGATATTTCTATCAACTTCTACTCTGAATCTTTAAATCTTTGTTCATTCACTTTGATTGGGAGAAATGTAGTGTGCTAATGATTTTAGATTTGATTTGAATGAAAATACAGATTTAAATGAATGGAAAACAATTCCAACTAGCATAAAAACCTCGACATAAAGAGGTTAGATTTCAGAGATTAGATTTTCAGTAATGATATCAGAAAAAAACCTTTGAATCTTAAGAACAGTAAATGTCTGATACTTGCAGACTTTTCCTCAAGTAATACAAGAATATCAGACTTTCACTTCCATCAAAGTCTGCTTCGATATCTGTGCTCAAGTACATCCTCATTCTACCGCTGCCCCGTTGTGATAAAGAGAATAAAGTTTTTTTTTTTTTTGCTTAAAGGCTCCCCCACACCCTCTCCTCTGTGCTCTCTCTTCTGTCTCGTCTTTTCTATCCATTGTTTGACTCATAAAGGTTTAAATTGTATTTTGACTGAATATTTCTCTCTGGATATTTCTAAACTCTCTAGTTGAAGATTAGATAATTACTTATGACAATAGTCATAAGTGTTGACATCTCTATATTTATTTTTTGACGTTCATCTAGATTCATAACCTTTTTTCCTTGGAGCCCACCCTGAGCCCCCCTGGAAACACAGCATTAAGAGCCTTGCGCCCTCCGTAAGATCTCAGGCACCCCCCCATATTGGGTCCCGGACCCCAGACTAGGAACTAATGATCTAGAACTTTGCCCATTTAAGCAAATTTTGGCATTAAAATTGAAATAAAAATGATGTAACAACATTATTAGATATTAGTTCATAACTCAAACAAACTTACTAATAACGCACTGATATAAGTGTTAGTTCTCAATTTAAGATTTTAAAGTCCTAAGATGTTAGAGTAAAACCAAAAGCTTAAAACTGCCATAATCCACATCCTTCTTTAATTTTCTCTCACACTTTATTTGAGAAACCTTTTTGTGATTGAAGTTTTAAAAAATGTAAATGAAAAGTAAAATCGGATTTGGACTTTACACTTCATGTCTCTCTCCTGCATTTTAAATCGGTGAATTTCTCTGCATTAGCATCGAGGGGCAGAAGCAAAGGTTAAACTCAGGTCATATGAACTGATACATTTATTAAACTGGGTATCTGCAAGTGAAGATAAATTATTCTGTAGCTCATATTCATTCTAATTAATTATCACTAATGGGTGATGTGTGATGTGAATTTTTGTTAAGAATGAATACTGTTCCTGTAGAGAACAGTTTCTGCAGATGTATCATTTCTGCTCCTGCACACTTCCTCTTTTATCTTATCTGAACAGGAGAAGCTGCCGGGTGTCACTTGAAACTAAATCTACATTTGAAAATGCAATATGACAGGATCCATTCAAAGTGAATTCATATATAAGCCTCCTAATATTACTGAAATAGTGGCTCTTATTGAGACAGAATAGACTATATAGCATGTTGGAATTGAAGACTCCCCTCAGAGGACCCTCTTGTCTGGCCCTGGGCTTTGATATAAAACTGTCAGATGATGACACAGAGTGTAACTACTCTAACCTCCTCTCCAAACACCAATTGTGGGGTTTTTTTGAGAGTGAGAGGAGGGAGGGAGAGAAAGAGAGAGAGAGTAAGAAGGAGCAACATCCAAAGACCCAAATCAGGTTAGCATTGACACCATAGCTAAGCCCAGCAGGACCACTGCTCTGAAGTCAAGTGGCTTTCACAAGAATGGAAAGCAGCACCTTCTCATAAACACGACCAGCAAGCAAAAAAACCCAGCAGCGACCATGTCTGCAGCTTTTGCTTTTGATGCATCTTTGCAGTAGTGAGGTGCCTCATTACTGTACAACCCTTCAAAACAACATGTGAAATGAGGGAAAGATATACTGTATGTCCACATTCATACTCTCTCATCAGCACTGTGTGTACACTTTCTCCCACCGACAGCACAATCTCCAGTGATCGATGAGCATCTGCACACAACATGACCCGCGGTTTCATCTCTCGTTGAAGTGTTTCGGATGTAGGAGGATTCTTGCTGAGCTGGCTGGCTTACATTTTCTTTGAACTCATCGCGATGTAGGTGGTTATGTCGGAGTCATCACATCCTGTGCAAAGGAGACGCTGTATATTCTTTGGAGTTCCTTTTTTTATTTTAAATACCTGTAGGAGACACTTGTGAATTTGAAAAAGACCTAAGAAAAGAAGTATGTGAGCGTGGTGGAAAGTGGAAAACAGCTTCTAGAAATTCTCAATTATGAAGCTACCATGAGAGAGAGAGAGAGAGAGAGTGAGAGAGAGCGAGAGATAGAGGAGGGTTGAGGTGCAGTACCACCCTCCTCGCTAATGAAAGGATGACTCCATTGCTTCTCAGAAGGTCAGGCTTTAAACAGACTCGCTTGGTGTGCTTTGCCGGAGACTTAATCCCATAAACAAATGCGACACGGGCTCCAAAGGCAAACTTTGATGTGCGCTTCAGCAATTAAGTGTGACCTTGTCTCAGGTATCCCCCTGCGAGCGAAGTACGGAGGAGTTTCTTTGAGCCTGTGCCACTGTTCTCATCAGTGTGTGGGCGAAAACTCCTTATCGACTGATTCCGGCCTTCAGCTCTGCCGTGACACAACTTGACTGTGACTCACCTAAACAGCACGGTCCCAAAGAGCATCAAACTCGCAGCGTATCAACACAGAGCTGTGCCTTGTCTGATGGCTGTGTGACTCACGGCTCTCACCGAGGAGAACTATCGAAAAACAGCAAAGTTCTCTGCAACTAAAACACACAATACATGAACATGTGTAATTACGACTATGCTCAGAGATTCCTGAGCATAGTGGAGACTTTCCCTCTCAGCTGTAAGCGACAGAATACTAAATGAGGCGTAGCTACGGAGGATCTGAGCTGGGTTTCAAGTCCTTGACATTTAGCCCATTCATCATAACACGCCACAGTCTGGGCATGGGCTGCACCACAGACGGGGAGGGCAGAGGAAGAGAGGTTCTGGCCGGCGATCAATTTGAGCAAATTGGAAATGTCACGGCCTACTCAACCTCGGCAGGGAGCCGGAGGAGCTCTCATCTCCCCACTGAGCTGCCCTCCAACACCTCTATCCTTACATTCTCTCCACCTCTCCAGATGTTTGCCCCCCACCCCCCCCAACTGTACACTTCCACTCGGCATCTCCACTGAGGACAGCTGAGATATAGCCTGTCTTCATTTCAGAACATATGGCATCCTGCTGTCAAATTAGTGTTAATTTAAAAGGGTCAATACAACCACTTTATATATATAAATATATCACTCTCCGCAGAAGTATCTTCGCATAGGTAACCTTTGGGTTTTATTTGCAGATTTTGAGAGATATTTGCTTGTGAGCTCACACTTTTAAACTCTAGTTTCTTGAAACAGGGTTCTTGTTGCGAGTCATAATAATCTTTTGAAAATATTCACAGCAGCATTTGCGGATTTAAATGAATAACCAGGAGAGCTCACTGGTTGGAGGCTAATGGTCAAACTTGTTGGAAAACAAACGTGATAGTGCATAAAATAAAAAACGTATAAAGTAACCAAATTCCAGAACATCTATTTATTCAGCAGTTTACTTCCAACCGAGAAAACATTTTATTTTACTCAATGAAACCTCTCTGTATGATTAAAGCGAATAGCCATTTAAGAAACTTCAAAGAGAATTAAAAAAGTTCCTTCACAAAAAAAGAAAGTAAAAAACAAAAGGAAATTTAACTTCTAAAAAACGATCAAAGCAGTATGCTCAAAGAGAGGCACAAAGAAAAAGAGAGGAAGTTGAGCGTGTTGGAGTCGGAGCAGCAGGTCCAGCAGAAGCTCAGAGCAGAGCAGGTGGAGGGAGGAGATGGCGCTGATACTACCATGTCTCACTAGAATACTGAGGTAAATGCAGCCAAATGTTCTCCGTAAACGTCTCATCAAAAGAAAGAAGAGTGCAGCTGCCAGCCTGCAGTGATTTCACAGTTTATTTAACGCCGAGTACAAGTTTAATGAGGACAAAAACACAACTCCCTATCCCATTCAAGGATCATTCAATATCATTGCTCTTTAATTCTATTGTCATTTAATGTTAGAGCATTTGCTAAATAATTGTATGAAGTCTTTTTTTTTACCTTAATAGATTAAATGTGAAGAGGGTATTATTAGTTATTGAGTGACATCTGTCACCGTCTTTAAACACAAATGATCTACCAAAATGTGAACAGTGTCATTTCACATAACAAGTGTTTCTGTGCTTTTCTTACTGGTCGGGAAGTGATTAGGCCCCAGTCGGGAGTAGCTGAAGTTATGAACTGTAACCGGTCAAGCAAACCTGATCTAAACACACCAACACAGTCCAGATGAAGATAATTATGAACTCTTAATAAATAAAACAAATGGTAATTTTCGAGAACTTTTAATGTGTTTGCTGCTCGATTAATAATACATATTTGAGAGCAAATTTAAATTACAGTGTTAGAGCCTCTGTGTGAAGGGGTTGATCTGTATATTTCTGACAGATGTGACATATAAAAAGACACACCAGCACACAGCAGTGTGTGCCCGTCAGTGTGCGTGTCAAACTCAAATGCCACACAAACTATCCTTCAAGGCTGCTGTACCTCTGTCCACACTCGCTTAGCATGTGAACAGATGAAATGGAAGAGGCTTCAATTTTGATCTAACAGACTCTGAAAAAAACAGACATTTGTATCATTGCCAGTGGAGTCAATGGGCTTATTCAAGGCTCAAATGTCAAAGGTCAAGGTTCACAACACAAAGATATGTCTGCTACATCTGGGGGCTTCTTCAAGAAATAACCAGTCCAAAGAATTACTTAGTGATGCACAATGGTGCAAAGACCTGAAGGCTGGTACACAAAGAACAAGCTGCAATGAAAACTGACCACCGCTGTTTGCAATGTTCACATCAAACTGATAGCAGCCTACTCCATATAAGTTTAGAGGCAATAACTGGAAGGAATTAAAATATCTGGATTTGCACACTTGTTTATAATTTTTCTGATGACTGCATTCGTTATAACTTCAACATAAGAAAATGTCAGCAGAAAAGGAGACGGTACTAGTGTGACATGAGAAGAGACTTCTGTAACTGCCCTCCTTCATCCCCTCTATTGCCCTGAGTCCCAATCAGGGTGATTTCTCTCCCCGACTGGTGGCCGCCGATTCTACATGTTGAATGACATGGACTGTTAATATTAATGAACGAAGCTTGAGTAACATCACCTGCTTTAGGAACTACGTGGTGCCAGACCCCCCCGGCCTGTTCGATGGCCACGCCTGGCCCATGTACTTGAAACTGCATGGGGCTCCGGAGGCTCATCGGTGGCAGCCGCCATGCTGGGAATGCTGTCTCAGCCTAACTTTCAGACAACTTTATGACAGGCGTTTTTTTGTACCAGGCTGTAAACATATTAAAGTCTGATCATTCTAAAGAGCAGACATTAGGAGATCCTAATTATTTGAGTGCTCAGAAAAAATAACAGGGCATTAGAAGATTTAAAAAAAAATACTGACATGTTTTAAAAAATAAAAGAAGAAACCACTAGATAGTAGAAATGGTTTGAATTATTTCCGGAAAAAAAACACATCAATGTGGGAATTTGAGACATTTGTTAGCATGTAACTGCTGACAGTTTGAAAAGAAAGTATCTGGAGACACATTGGGCAATATTTCAAGGTAAAACAACAAATCATAGCAAATTAGGTAAAGACGGCTAAGATTAATATTCAACATTTTCCCTGCTAACGTAACAGTTATCTAACCAACATCGCTGTTAAATGTTCAAATAAACACTGATGTTGATACAGATATAAGTATAGATTTTTATGCTTTCAAATGTAATGTAAACTCTAAGCTAATGTTAGCCTATATATGTCTTATGCTAACATTTGAGCGATCAAACATGTAGTTTTAACTTTTAAATGTCTTTTAATTTACTGCTCAACTTGGAAGTAAAGACATGATAACCATTGTCAGAGTCTTTACTATACTATATTTTACAAACTGGAAGGCGGCAATTATAAGAGAGTTTTGAGTTCCACCTGAGATGAACATCTTTAAAAAATGGTCGCGGTGTAAACTAGAGAAAACGTGTTAAAGACAATTTAGAAAACTTTAAAGTTGAGTTTGATCATCTTTCATGTTTTCAAAGTGCCAGCAGTGCACATCAGGTTGCCATCTAATGAACTAATCTCATGCCTCAACATCATCTAACCCCCACGATACCATGACGACCCTGCAACCCCAGTCAGCAGTGCCCCTCGTCTGCCTCATGAACCTGTATGGTAGCTAATGATAAGGGGTGAAGCTGAGACACAGAAGTCACCATGAGGGGCCTTCAACAATAAATAAGCCTGCTGATTTTGTGCCGCAGATCCAATCTCGCTCTCTGCTCCCAAATGCACAAACTCACAAACAGAGTGCACTCTGAGCAGGAGCGCTTGTGGTCGGCTGATTGGGTCCCAAGTGAAAAAAAATAGAAGCAGATTTAAACCACAGTGTGCCCCCTTAGTTGTTCTCCCATCTACAAATGGGCCAGACAAGGCTGTTATCTAGATTAAGTGACGACTTTAAGAGCCGATGCCAAGGATTTTTGTACACACCTTTGAATGGATGTGTTGAAAAAAGGAGATAGCTTTAATTTGTTACATCTGACAGCTGCACGTAACAAATCTGGGCATGAAAACTCATGGCACCCCGTCGCACAGGCCACGGGGAAAACTAACAGGAGGTGCAGCCACTCTTTCTTTTTTCTGAGCGTGACTATTCATGTGTAGGCTGCAGACATATTTTCAAGAATCTCATCTCTCAATTTGTGATGTGCTGCAGATGTTTGATTGTTTTTTTTGGTAAAAAAAATCTATTGTGGTGTTTTCTCATTGACTTGTTTTTAGTTCTGTAGCCATAAGAACTTTGCCAATCATTTAGCAGTAGACTGCCAAAGCGAGTTTCACTTGAAGTTGATTCAAGCTGCTTAAGCAACCAAATGCACAGAACAGAAACAGTGTCTTCATTTATTTAACATCTTTTTCCATGCACTATTGTGCAAATGATATTAATGAGGGTTTTTTTTGTGTGTGGATACATTACATCAGCAATCAACAAATGTATGTTGCAAAGAGTCAGAACAACAAAACACATGAAGAGTAAATATCTTACCTATGTGTTTTCCATACATGTGATAGAAAAAGCCGAAGCAGTAGGCGGGTGGGTTGGTGATCCCATAAGGGTTCTTAGGTGCTACGTTGAAAAACGGACTCACAAGCCGCGCTTGGTCCCCGTCCTTCCGCGGTCGTGACGTCTCAATGTACATGTAGAAACCTTGAAACACATAACAACACACCCTTGAATATATGCATTAATACAGGAGGCTGCTGCAAGTAGGACCTTCTAGCACATTTGTATGCACAGCAGTAAAGTATGTACAGTATATAAATAATGGGTAACACTTTATATTAAGGTACACCTATTCACCATGAATTAGTTGCTTATTAGCATGCAATTAGTAACATATTGGCTCTTAATTAGTCAATGTTAAGTACTTATTAATGCCTTATTCTGCATGGCCTTATTATACAACCAGTAAGCCATTAACTAGAGTTTTCCCTCAATAACCTCAGAATTATTGCTTATTAGTAGTAAGTAAGGAAGTTGTTGTATATGAATTACGATCTCAATATGCTTTGCTTAGTATGGACTTTATAAGGTGGTAGTACCACAAGAATAGTTATTCTCCCTCAATAACACTTAATGAATATGGTCTGTTCTTACATAACAAAACACAAAACTACAAGTGTTAATAGTGTCCAAATAACTCTAAATTAATTGTTACTTAGAATATGTTCCCCATACTAAAGTGACATCTTGATCTTTACGAATTCACTAGTACAGTAGTTCTCAAACTTTTTAGACTGCGTACCACCTCTGAAAATATTTGGCTCTCCAAGTACCACCATTATGGTAGATGTTAAAATACACTGTAGGCCTATTTCTACACACATTTTACGCAGGAGGTTATTTATTATTGACTGTTGGCAGCCACACTATAGGACTACTAAGGACTAGCGCTAGAACAGGCACTTAAACTAACACAACACTGACATTTACCCAAATCAAAAAAAAAAGTGCAGCACAATAAAAATGACAACTTTGCACCAACAACCTGTTTGAGAATATTTAGTCTCCAGTGTTTCCCACTAATAGACGATACCTGGACCCAAGTATATTTCCGACCTGTTCTCGTTTACCTGCGTGTCAAGGCCAGTCTGACGTCAGTGCCCGTGGAGCCACAACATCCACAAGAGCTGAGAAGGAGGCAGTGTCAAACAAACACGCACTGCAGGAAAAACATGACCATTGTCTCCTGCAAGGGGTGCAAGCACCCTGTGAGTGGGAAATGCACCGTAAAGGTTGAGCACTTTTGCCGCAGGTATGTGCATTATGTGCCGCGGCGCTGTGCAAGGTGCCGATCGTTGATTTGTTCATCTGTTTGTTTCTTCGCCGCTGCATCTGTTATGGATTTCTGCAGTTATTTTTGTGGGCTATATAGTTTGTCATGCCCATAGATAGATAGATTTTGTTGTTGTTCTTGTTGTTGTTGTTGTTGTTGTTGTTGTTGCTGTTGTTTTTGGCGTGCGTGTGTGTTGGTCAATGATTTCCTCTATGTCGGGGAAACAAACCCTGTTGCAGAGAGGAGGAGGAGCATCTGTGTTTATCTCTTTTTTTGCAGTGTTTTTTATTAAAATGCATATGCTGATAGCCTATTTGGTTTGTAGATAAAAGTAAGTTATATTTAACTTGAAAAAAAATGCATTATTTGTGTGCTTCTGAGCACAAACAAGATCATTTGCATATGCCGTCTGAAAGACGGCTGCGGCGCTTGGAGGGGGGTCTAGACTGTTGGTGGTCTAGAGGTAAGACAGCAAAATAGCTTCAGAGCGCGCACGCGAGAGAGAGAGATAGAGAGAGACAGAGCGAGAGAGAGAGAGAGAGAGAGAGAGAGAGAGAGAGAGAGGGTGAGCGACTGTCCGTACATGCGTCAAAAAGTGAAGCTCTTGCTCAAGATCCTTTATTATTTTTTCTTGGCTTCTAGGAACTCCACTTTGGAGATTGATCCTTGAAAATAAAAATGAGAGCAGGATACAAAAAAGATTATGATTTGACAGTATTGAGTGAGTGAGTGACCAATCATGTCGTGTGACATCCTCATCCAATCATCCAAAGGGAGCCACCAGTCACGTCATAGATCCGGAGCAGGTGGCTACTTGCCGTTTCGTTCACCGCTTGGAGAGTGAAGATGGAAATTCGTTTAACAAATATGGTAAGTTAAGCGCTAGCCTGTTAATTGAAACTCCCCCCTGAGTTTTGTAAGCACATCATAACACCCGTCCCGGGCCGTTTACATAGTTCAAGAGTAGTAAACCCTCCTATTTATGTGCAGTGTGTAGGCTAATTAGCTAATGTAACGCTAAGCTAGCTGAGTGCGTGTCCTGGGTGAATAGTAGGAAAGAAACAGTAACATTAACATAAAATGTGAATGTAGGTGCATGTGTAATGCTTTAGTATGAACCACATTTTGTAATGAATATATAAAGTATGCACTATGCAGTCATTGGAACAAGAAGAGCTTTTGAATCTTGTGTAGATTATTTAGGTTTCCTTTTTTCCGGTTATCGTGACATGAATTTATTTATATTTTTACAGCCTAAAGCCAAGAAGAAAATGTCCCTAAAAGTCCCTAAAGATGACTTGAGGACAGAGGTGACCAAAAATTATCTGGATGGTAATTTTTCTTTGTCAACTTTCAAGTAACTTTAATACTTAAATAATTAGCTTGTCCAAATGTGTTTAAACATTTAAAGTCCTCTATTCATATGTTGATTTTGTTGTACCTATGCCATACTGTAGGTCCTGAAGATAAAGGAAGCTCTGCTCCAAGTTGCAGCAGCATAAGCAGCATTGGATCAGGTAATGATTTCTCATTTTCTAGCAGTGTATCTTTGTTGTCTAAAATTACAGAGTGTCATTTCTTGCTCGTGATTTTTTTGCCTGAGATTAAAGTTGTTGGCAGATTTTGTCAGTATACATGTGCTTACAAATCAAGTTAAGTCATCAGACCATATCTGGTCCACTACCTTTGTTGCATGCATGTAATTCTCTCTCTCACACTCACTCACTCACTCACTCAATACTTGAGCAAGAGCGCAATTTCTTGCGTGAGCAAATCATGGGATAGAAGAAATCATGTGAGTGATTTGGGAGCAACTCGTATCTGCAAAATGTAATGTAATTGTAATGAAAGGTGAGATATATCTTCATAACAATCTGATCTTTGTCTCACATATCCTCTATTTGATCAAAGGTCTACCAAAAGTATTTACTTTGGAGGACGACGACGAGAATGACAATGGCAACATGGATGAAGATGAAGTCATTCCCCCATCTTCTCCAAGCATCAGTGAGTCCTCGGACAGTGATGTTGTCATCCAAAGATGGAAGACACGTTGGACACAGCCACCTGCATCTGCAACTGTGGCTGTGCCTGGAAAAGCTCATGTGAGAGGTAAGAATGGCATAACTTGAATGGCCCTGTTAGCAAGTGGTCATGAAAAGTAATTATTAATAAAAGCGTTGGAAGAGCTGTTAAAAGTATGTTCTGAAGTAATTATGAGGCAAAAATACAGATCTTCAGTTCTAAATTTTGAATATACTAGAAATTTGATGATAAATAAAAATTAAATGTCTAAAGTCAAAAATGTGGCTTTCATCAAGAATAAAGCTCCATGTTATTTTGCAGCATTCACACTAATTATTATTCAACATCAAATGTATTGCTAGAAAGATTTGTCTCTCAGAAGTAAACATAATTCTGAACCGTAAGACTTACCAACTAAACAGATCTTACAGAGTATAATTTTTGTATTGAATTCTGAACCACATATTGTGCGTGGAATCATGTCAGGAGATGAGCAGATTGTCCCATTCCTAGAATATGCTTCATACTTTTATCAAAAGAGAAGTGACCAGTTTGAGCAATTTCAGCTGACCTTAAGCCGTTGTTTGTGCTAATTTCTCGTGTTCTTTTGTTTTTGTTTTATATATTTTTCAGTGAAAGGGCCAGCTGAGGTTATCAGCAGATATAAAAAAAAGTCTTGAAAAGCTTCAGCAAAGTCTGCACCATGACTGAAGCCTTCAGAATCAATGGCGTGGACCGGGGAACCATCAAGATGACTGCTGCAATTGCAGAGCTCAACATTGTGGCTCCTGAAACCTTCAAGACCCTGAAACCTTCAAGACCCTGAAGTATGATCCTGCAACTGAGACCCTGCAGTCCTTTGCCAAGAGGTGGGCAACCCACATTACCCCTGAGAAGAAGAGCATTATAGAGGACATGAAGGCCAAAGGCCAACTCCTCCCCTTGTTGATGAAATATTAAAACTTAAGTGAGCTGCTTTGTTCAGTTAAAAATCTGTTGTATTGTATTGGAAACTTAAAATATTAACCTGTGCAGATTTTGTTGTATCCTTGTTAGTGCACAGGGGAAATAAATCACCTGATGCAGTAATTATAGAGCAAGTTTAGGCTGTGAAAGTGCAATGTTTGTACAGTTCAGTACATTTGTTCTAAGCTTTGACAAGTGTAGTTTAGCTGATAAAGAGCAAGTTCATGTTGAGCTGTGCAGGTTTTATATTTTTTAGATTGTGCAATTTTTTGTATTTTTGTACTTAATATTATTCAGTATTTTATATTGTGCTGTTTTTTGTAAGCAGGCAGATTTTGGTTAAAGGATCACACAGATTTTCAACAATAGAGTACCTGTATTATCATACAGTATGACCTGCTTATACATTTGATACCATATTGTATGACATGTTTGTATATACTGATACTTGTCAGTGTTTGAATTTTCAGGCAGACCCCATTACCTGTAAGTTAAACTACACAGCAAGTTCAGGCAGTATTTGTTGTCAGCCTTGGGAAAACCTGAACCAGTGGTTTAATAAATGAGGTATTTGTACTTGTGCTGTCTTTGTTATTCTACCACTGAATGAGAGGGAACCTAGAGATAGATAGATAGATAGATAGATCCATTTTTTTTCAAAGGTGTAACCCATCACTTGTTCATTGCAGTAGTTATGTGCTATAATATATTAACTAAGTGTGAAAAGGAGGCAACTTTAGATTAGGGAACATGTGTTGGTTAATAAGTGTTCAACTACTAGTGATTTAGTAAAGATCAAGATGTCACTTTAGTGTGGGGAACATATTCTAAGTAACAATTAGTTTAGAGTTATTTGGACACTATTAACACTTGTAGTTTTGTGTTTTGTTATGTAAGAACAGACCATATTCATTAAGTGTTATTGAGGGAGAATAACTATTCTTGTGGTACTACCACCTTATAAAGTCCATACTAAGCAAAGCATATTGAGATCGTAATTCATATACAACAACTTCCTTACTTACTACTAATAAGCAATAATTCTGAGGTTATTGAGGGAAAACTCTTAGTTAATGGCTTACTGGTTGTATAATAAGGCCATGCAGAATAAGGCATTAATAAGCACTTAATATTGACTAATTAAGAGCCAATATGTTACTAATTTGCATGCTAATAAGCAACTAATTCATGGTGAATAGGTGTACCTTAATTTAAGTGTTACCAAATAATGTCCTCAGGGCTAAAGCAAAGTCTTTGACCTTCATTGGAAACAAACAGTAGATGTACTCTTTGAAAAATATGAGGATTTTTTCAAGGCAGCAACACAAAACCCCACGACTTCTCTCAGAAAGTCTACTGAGACACCAACAAATACTTTTTTCCTGTAAACACTGAGAAAAAAAACATCCTTGGTCATGCTCAGTTGCTTTTCAGGCAGCCTGTGATAGCATGAATGAAATGAAACCTTCCATATCAGAGCTAAGGAGCAGGCAGCTCTATGAAGGACAGTTCTTCTTTTACTAATAGCTCTAACCGAGGGGCTAATTTGACAGAATAACAATAAGGTTACATTCACGCTCCTTCAGACATGGACAGCAGAGGTGTCGACAGTGAGTCAAACTGTCCTCTGATTGTGTCTGAGCCACATAATCTGAGGCCAATCACTGCCCTGCCACATTGAAGGTAACGAGTGAGCAGCCCCACGTCCCTGCAGCCAAAATCAAACAGAATATACCCCTCAGTTGCATCTCATAGCAGATAATTATATGCAAAGAGGGGTGTTGCTGGTAATGAAATGCTGGACATTTTGAAACCATTAGGTGATTAAAGCCAATGCATTATTTACTGCTTCAGCTGCTGCCGGTGCCACAGCACACTAATAGGCACTTATAGTCCACCACAGATACTGATGGATTCCTACAAATCCAATTTTGGTAATGCTTTATTTATTAAATTCCTGAATATGGAACACCTGCACATGCAACTTACATGTTGAATACTAAACACTGAGCAGATTTCTCTGGCTAAGGCACCCATGGAAACAGAAACAGAGACTGAGCTGAAAGTTTGTATGGAACATAAATCAACAAGGCTGCTCATTGTTAGCTTGTGCAGCATCATCAAGAAAACAGTGACCCTCTCAGTGCTGCTGAAATCATTTATTTTACTTTTTGGAACAATTGAGTCCTTCAAAAAGTTCTTTAAACATGGCAAAGACAAAAAAAACTTTTACTGCTATATTTAGATTTCTTAATAAAAGGTGAAACACTCATGTTTCAATGCTGATAATCTCATATTTTGTGGACTTAATTTAGCAGTAAATTGATTATTATGCAGTTTCCCTGTGCACCGTGGGTAGTCATGTATTCATCCATACATAACATGAGAAAATAAAAGAGGGGTGTCAATTTAAATGGGTGCATTCAACCGACTTTTTTTCCAATCAATGAGCAGATGCAGTGTGTTCAGAGCCACACTGACATCTGGCAGAAAGAATCAGTTACACTTACACCAACTGTGTTTTTCTTTCCTATTGGTGCATCCTTTTTTACAATATGATTATTCAGCTGTACGGATAAATCTCCATCTGGCATATTCAAATGAGTTAACTGGCCTGATGACTAGAGCTGCACATTTACAGCTATGTAAAGTTATCTGCATTTATATACACTTTTTTTCTCTATAGTCATAGATAGCTGAAGCTGATTCAGGTCAAACACATTAACCCTTGTACACTGCACCACCTGAGTTTCCAGTTCAATTCCATTTTAATTCATTTTTCGTCATACATATGAAAACACAAAGTAATAATCATAGATCTGTGGCTGCTGTGTATCAGGTCGTTAAAGAATCAATACAGAAGTCAAATAACTAATCCTTTACTGAGACATTGTTATTTCTCAAGTCAGGCTCTACTTACTATCAGAAATAATATTAGGTTTATAATTACAACAGCAGCAGATTGAAATATTAGGCAATTTTTAAAACACTTAGCTGATTTCAGAATGAAGTTGACAAAAATAGGGCGTTAAATAATCAATCACATAAGCATTTTGAAGTCTAGATACAAAGATTGAGACTAAAGCTACATGTCCTGTGCAAAAATTCTGCATAATCACCATAAAATGATCCAATTCAAAGAGGGATTATTAATTACCCAGTGTATTCCTACACTGGTTGTGAGGATGTGATGCTGTATGATCGTTCTAACCCCCATACCCTGTAAATCATTCTTTCTGGAGACTTAAACTGAGTCTCATCTTCTTTCCATTGGTATAAAAAACCTTCCAGCTCCTGTTGTCCACAAACTTCTATAAATTATGCTAAATGAGTTTAATTCTGTCCCTGGGTTTTGTACTCACCCTGTTTAGATCCACTGCGGTCACCGCTGGGCCCGGTGTTGGGTGTGTACTTTGTGTCGCGAGTGGCAGCACTGTGCCTCGTCCAATCAAAATCGTCGTTCTTGTCCTGGGTGAACATGCATATGGGCTCCTCCTCAAAGCTGCAGTGAAACTCTCCTGGTGAGCAGCAGAGAAGAAACAGGGTCTCACTATCAGTTCAGTATAATGGAGTTAAACAGTGCCTGGAGGGTACGATATGTGCAGTGTGGCAACACTGTATATTTATGAGATTTCCTGCAGTGTGTGTGCGTGTGTGTGTCTCATGAGAGTATACGACAGTAAAGTCCTAATTAAGGATACCATCCTGTAAAGAGAGTTTCTAAATTAAGCTGTGACCTCTCGCTGACTGTAGTGGAAACGTCAGGCAGGTTTTTTCCCTTGTTTTGACAATGTGAAGTGTAGTTTGGTTCAGTGAAGATGGAACATTTCTGAAAAGGGGGGGGGGGGGTCACTAACAGTTTAAGGGTTCTCTTTTCCAAATTTTGTAATTTAGTAAAAATGTAATTTGAACAACTCCCTGATTTTGAACTCCCTGAATTTAAATGATTTTGGTTTTAGACCACCCATACCTTGGATGATAAACCAGTGTATGGGCTTAGTAGGGAAAAAAAGTTTGCAAAACTGGACCTGTTGGATGGACCTGGCTCCCAGTCAAAAGCTGTGGGGGAAAAAAAAACTTGGACACTTCAAGTATCAAATGTCTCAGTGGTAATGTTTTAATCAAATCAAAACATTTGAATGATGTTGTTCTAACTTGTGAGTTAATTCTGACCGTTTAATAGTTTCCTGTTATCTCACAATGTAGAAGTATCAGATTATATATTTAAAACTGACTCAGCTGAGGTCAAATTAATTTGAAAAACTTTTCTTTCATGATTGAAAGAAAAAAAGTGAGTAATTCACCCTTGGATGTTTTGTGGTGTCTCACTAGTAGGACTCTTTGTAATCACTTTTTAAAATTTGACCCCGCCTCCCTCGTTCTCTATCGTTCTTCATCTTCTCCTGAGTGGGTGTGTAGGTACAGATATCGGTTGCTCCCCCCTCCCTCTCCTCCCCTGTCTCCCCCGCTTTGCCCTCCCTTCTCCTCCATTGCTCTTGACGCCCTGTGACTGCAATTTTTAAACTAGTGGAGTGTGCAGAGAGGGAATGAAACTTTAGGTTTTGTCCCCCTTGAAGAAAAAAAAATAACAGTAATTGTAGCTCCAGCAGGAGGTTATGATGGGTCACATGTAGGGGAATGTCTAACAGTGAATACACTAATGAATAGTGGGAAACCAAGCGCCAGGGGGAATAACCCACTCACTTTAATGAAGGTGTAGCGGGGGGGATCAAGAATGTCGAAACCCTCATTTAATCCATGTAACAAACAAAGCAGAACACCTAACCAGAGGACACAGTGCTGCTGTGTGTGTGTCTTCAAAGAGATAGTAGAAAAAGATTTAGTATGCAGGCATGCGTTCTGATAAATATTCATTGATTTATTAAAATGTAGCTGGGAGCAGTTTGGGGTGGTGACCTTGAGAGGAGCAGAATGTGCTGCTTTTACTCAGGTAATGTAGGTAACATAGACTGAGTCGGAGTGTGGGCGGATGGACCGAGGGGAAGGAAGAGGGCAGTGAAGCTGCGAGGCAGAGCGAGATAGAAAGTGTGAGCATGGAGAGGAAGAAGTGGCGGAGTGGAGGAATGGGGGCCGGGGTTGCGGGCACTCTTGACTCTTCTCCTCATAGGCATGCAGATTTAAATGAAGGTCTAGCTCCTGGTGCTAGACACTAACGCCCCCGTCCAATGTGAGCTAAGCTGAATGTTTTTGCCCTGTGCGCCCGTGAGATAGAGGTGTGTTTGAAGGAAGAAGAGGAGGCGTGCAGATAAGATGGTTACCAACAGGGATTCAGATAATGATGTTGGTTATTAGGATGTTTTTTTTTATTATGTTGGCAATGTTTGCCTGAACACCCACCAAAATACATCTCTATATAAATAAATAAACCAGAACACACAGCAGCACAATGCAGCACGACAAACAATGATTGGAAGTTTGGATTCTCGAGGCGTAAATAACGCATTTGTAGAGTTTTGTGAAAAAGAGGGTTCCACAAGTGGGACTAAACATTAGAGGCTAGAAACAAATACAACACAGATGGACACATGCAGGTATTGCTCAGAAAGCACAGAGCATGCAAATGTACTGATACACATGTACAGAAATACGTATTGAATTCAAACTTCCAGAGTGCACAGAGTCCTGCAGAGGATCTCAACATGTCAAACAGCCTGATGCCTGTTTACCCAGAATTCCTCAAGGAGTCTCACTCTTCATACTTCATTAACTTCTACTTAAGGAGGATCTTCCAGTACAGTGTGACACGTTGAGAGCCAGATCTACAGGACACAGGACTCTGTGTTCACAGAGACGAAGCATGCATAGTGAGAAGCACAATACTTACTAAGGTGAGGGTTGATGGGAGCTGTAACAAAAAGAAAGGTCAGGGAAATTAGTACAGAATATCTAGAACCTTTGAGCGAGTAGCCGTTTTATAAGCTTCACTGTTCAGCAAACACTGTCAAGGTTCTATTTCTCTATGAAAACCTGCTCACTGTACATCATCACATGTAGAGCACACAGAGGCACACACAGCTGAAAAGTATCCCCTTTTTTCACACTGTTATGTATTATATAATATAATGTCTGTGTGCTGCACAAACACAGAAAACAACATAAGCCTGCTCACAGTAGCTCCTCTACTAACCTTTCATCCTTCTGTCTTCTAATGTTTAGGCACAGAGCTAATAAAAGTCTTCATATATAAAAACTCAGCGTTCCACTGTCATAAACAAAATGGAAGACGCCTCTGGGAAGGTTGGAAACTTGGTCGTGTAATATTAAAACACTGCGAGCACATTTAAGTGTGCACGCTCCATCTTCAAGCTCCATTGTGTTCACAGTGTACAAACACAAAGACGCTAAACAGGAAGTAATCTACTGGCACACACGGTGTGAGGATAATTGAGCAGACAGGAGGAGAGATGTCTGGGATTTGGAGTGTAAAAGGTGACAGCAGTGGTTTTCTGCCTGTTATCAAATGTAAAAGACAGAGGGATTAGGAGGAGCAGGCTGACCACATTAATAAGCTTATAACCAGACTGCTAATCATTATTGCCATTTAACGGTATTGCTGATGTTCTTGTTCAAGGTGACTTCCATTTAGAACCCTAAGCCTATTTTACACTTCCATTAAGACGCCGATAAATCATCGAAATGAGTAATTATCACAAGTGGCCGTCAGCTAATCACTTTGCTGTAACATCTTTGGTTCTGTGTGTTTTTTCAACACCGCATTTTGGAAACTTTCACATCAAACACTGATTGCTTGTGTCCAGATAAATGCGAACGAGACTTGTTTTGCATTCAGTCCAGCTATAAGCACAGTTCAATGCTCCCCTCATTGATAGTTTAAGAGGCTACGGCTGCAACAAACACAGAAAGGTCAAGGGTATCACATACAGTCGCAGCGAGCCAGTTAGTCGGCACTTCACTTTTTTGCAGAGTAAATACCATTTAACCTGTCAAGAAGATTCATGGGCATTTTCATGATCGATTGCTGACCGGCGGAATAGATGCGAGACATCAGCTTTACCACGAAACAATGTCGTGGCGTGATTTATGGAACAGTGCTGCTCATAGGGGGAATTGATTTTAATCCAACCAATTAAAGTGAGTAATAACAAATCATTGGTACAAAGGAAAACATGTACTGAGGAGCGGTGGAAGTGCTGCGGGGCAGGTGCAATGGGTCTTTTGAAAAGAAGAAACTGGAGTAATGGTTTCTGTTTATTGCTGCATGGAAATGTATGCTCACTTTCGCACTGGAGATGAGCGAGAGAGAGAGAGAGAGAGAGAGAGAGAGAGAGAGAGAACTAATCCTTTGCATTTCCAATTGAATCATATAAAACATTCAGCGAACTGCAACACTGCAGCTAAACCCTCGGTATAAAGGGAGCATGAGAGTAGAGCGAACAGGCTGAACACCCGCAAATAAAAGCTTGAATCATCTTTATGTTGTTTTTGTGAAAAAAAACCCCAGCTTTACAACACTTGATGCTTCCTCCTGGATCTACACTGGACTGCAACAGAGAGGAAGAACATCATCATCGTCATCATCTAGGCTATAGCAGAGAAAATACTTGAAATGACAACTTACAGCCTCAGGCCTTTGAAACGATGCTGAGTTTTCAAACTAAATTCTGTTCTTTCAGCACCCTCACAACCTCCCATTTTCTACAAATCTCTTCAACCCTCTCCAGTCATTCCTGCTGTCCCTTCTTCCTCCCCCCTTTCTTCATTTCCAAGACCTAGGTTATGAAAATATGTTTCATTGTCTTTTTTTTCCTTTTGAAAACTGCGACGTTCCCAGGCTGACTCACAGTGCCTCAGTCCAGATGAATCTGTCTGCTCAAGCCGTGTTTCTGCCCCCACTGAGGAAATCAAGCTGAGCACAGACCAGACCCATGGGCCACTTTACTGCTGCTGTGAGCGCACACACTGTCTCTAACTTAATATGTACTTCCTATACAGAGGACTCTATCGTATATGGTTAAACAAATGATATATAAAACATTTTGAGACTGGGATCGACTATTTCTGAGTCACCAGGACAGCTGTAATCCAGTCACATAATCAAAGCCAAGCTGATATACAGAACACTAGCAGGACATTGAGTGTGATATTTCTTTATTACATAACCATTGATCAAGTGGTATGTTAGTTCAAATAATAGCAGATAGAATTTTTTTTATTAAAACGTCTATTTGGCTGTGCCCACACAAACTGTTTCTCAACTTGACTAAAGCAACACTTGAACAGTTTGCTGCACTTTAGCTACTCTGTGCTCACACATTTCAGCAGACCTTTTATTTTGAACTATCTACATTTCTCTGTATGTTTCCATATATTGAGCAGCAATTAAAATAAACGTCTGCTGACAGTTGCTTTGGATGCATGTGTGATGAAGCACCAGCGCAACAATTTGAGACATCACCGCCCACTGTAATTTTCTTTTACAGAATTGAACACAGAGTGGCACACAAAGTTGAAAGTCATTTCGCTGCTATTCTCCATTTCATTACTGATGTTATGCCTCTTGTCCATCGGAGTATACATGGTCAGACAGAAAGGTTTTGAGAAGTTCTCCAGCCTTGTCTTTAAATGCTTTTGCTTAGTGGAGCTCAAACACTCTTTCCAAAATGTATGTTGTTAAAGCAGAAGTGTGAAAAGCCCTCGAGCTAGCTGCAAAGGCTTAAAGAATATCAAATTTTCCTGTTTTAATGCTGCAGCACTCTGCTTTCCTTGGAGCTACAAAAACCTCAAATAATGATCAAGGATGAAGTGTAATTTTGATCATTCTCTAGATAAACACTCTGCAGTGATCATTGCCTGAATTGAAATTAGGTTTTCAATGCAGCCTTTGAAAACGTCTGTTATGACAGGGCATGTCCTCAACCCACACATGTATGACTCTGTAGTTTTACTTTTCTAATAGAGAGGACAAAACAAACGGCTGCTTGATGCATGAATGCCTTCCATCCAAATCGACTAATTTTGATTGAAACACAAAGTGAGCTCACTGACTGCCGAAGGACATCGAGCCTGTCCTGGATACAAACACTGACTTCATCTTGGCAGGATTCCCTGCCCACTGGCTTGCGCCTTTATTACAAAGCAGCAGACAATTCCAGGGCTGCAGCCAAGTGTCCTCATATACAACAGCAGCTTCTTCTTCTTTTTTTGCTTCCTGACCTCATATAATCCAGCCTCTACAGTATTCCCATCCATCATGTTTAAGGGGTCTGAGTGGGTGCTACAAAGTTTGAGAAAGCTGTGTGATGGCTCAAAGATCCAACCAGAGGTTAGAATAATAACAGTGTGGGCAAATCTAATTCCCCTCATGTGTCCCTGATGAAACAACAGAAGGGACATCACAGCTACATGTATTGTGTCCTTCAATCCAAGTGCTGCTTCTTCACAGATGACATAACTATGCTGTCGTAACAGAGACCAATGAACACCACAAACACAGCCAACCAATGTCCAATAGTTTCCTGTGTTATCATGATCTCTTGCATCAGTGTACATATCACACACTGATGCAAGCAAATGATTCCTCAATGGACTTCCACATAGATGAACTCTGCTTCAAATAGAGCAGAGGAACATGGAAGAAGAACAGCTAAGTGACAAAAGTAAAGGAATGCAAAAAGCAAAAAGAGGGGGCGCTGGTTTAGTTCAGAGGCTACAGTCCATGATGCACCGGTTGTTAACATAGGATGATACGTCTTACCACGCACAATGACACATTGCTCAATTTTGTGCTGCCAAAGAAAAAAGACACGTAGGTGTTGTGAAGGTTTGGCTTTTGAGTTCTAGACAATCAGATAAACAAACTAGTGCAGCCGTAAATACTTTAGCAGGTGTTACTCCATATGACATAAGAAATAATGAGTAGTAAGAAATGTCAAAATTTGTCACATTTTAAACTTGGCCTCAAATAGATTTTTCCAATCATTTATTGAAAATGTACAGGATTAGTTTGACATTCCTGGGAACACATCAATTTACTAAGACAAGCGGTTGTATTATCTACCAATTAGTTAGCCTAGCTTAGCACAAAAACTTAAACACAAACACTGGTGGGAACTACCAACACCTCTTAAGCTCACAAATTCACAGGTAACATATTTTTTCTGGCTTCGTACAGGAGCTCCTGTTAGAGCTATAACATCGCTTGGAGCAGTTGCTAGGTGACCACAGACACCAGGAAGTAAATGCTCCCAGGCTTGCTAAATATGTTAATTTACAGAAGAATTTGATTATATCTGTAAATGAAAAAGGTTTAAAGATATTACTACAGAATAAGTACAAACATATACATAGATATATGGGTATCTACTCAATCTGTTGTGTTCAAAAACACATTGACAAGCACCTTTGTGTTGCTGCCGTCTGTGATAAACTGAACCCTTTTTGAAGTATGTTATTCTTATTCTGTCATATACCTATACTTTTATAAACTATACCCCAGAAGAAAAGGATATTTGGAGGGAAAACTGCATATTGTAAAAACAATGTTGCAATTTTGAGGCTCAAGTACTGTAACAGTAAAAATAGATATATTAAGATTTCAGAAGGTAAATCAGGAACAACGTAGGCCTAGTTGGAATTGTGATTTCCCTCAACCATGACTGGCATATATTAGGAAAACAACCATCAGCTTAAGCAGGAGAAAGTACAAAAAGACAGTATTTAATGTTAAATCTGGCAGCTTTTGACTTTAGGACACACATGTTACTGTTTATGTCACTATGAGTTGCACAAAGGTGTGAAAATTAAGAAACCGCTGCAGTGTTTTATGTGACATTGTGAGAGTTGACAGGAGGCTTAAACACTAAATCCTTGGTCTAGGAGGAACCAGGGAGAGAGAGAAAAGTGTTATGAGGAACATCAAACAGATGCCGTGTTTGTCACTGCAGCAAAATTTAAAAGAGTGTCTTTGGAGCTGGGTGACACCACCATCCTTCATCCTACAGCTGGGGACACTATAACCGCTTTTGTGTTTTCTTGCCAACTCGCAGAGAAGCTGCTACCATCGGCTTTCTGTGCATCACAATGATGGCTTGGCCTATCGGGCAATGATGAGTACACTCACTCATACTTCTGTTTCAGGGACCAAATGTTAAAGCTGCAGAATAGAACACTTATGCTAACAGCTAATGGTCAAATAGAAAATAATCCTTATTGATGTTGTTTGTTTCTGTATATTCAAAACAAATCAGTTTCAGGGCCATGTGGAGCAAAAGGCTGTATGCAGTAAATTCACATTTATGCCTTGGCGGTTGTTTGGAGACCACTAACCTGTACATTTTGTGATGTACGAGGGAGCCAAGAAAAGGTGCAAACGCCACAAAGCAAGAGCCAAATCCACGAGTGAATTCAACAAACAACTTACTGTGAAGTCTCAGTGCCACTCACTGTTCAAAACCTCCTGACTGGTAATCACTGAGGTTTAAAGCACAGTCGTTTGTCACTGTTTGGAGAATCATGTTGATGCTGCTAATACGAAGTAAAAGCTGCAAAGGACGATAAAAAGACTAAGATTCAGAAACAACAATAGAAAATATTCCTTTTTTAAATTAATTTAATTGTTTTTAAAAAGTGCTGTATAAATAAAAGTTATTACTATCTGTATGATTATAATTTAAAAGATATATTTTATATAACTGTTCATTTTCAGAAGTCTTTGTATGTGTGTGTGTGTGTGTGTGTGTGTGTGTGTGTGTGTTTGTGTTTGAATGGGTTGTGTATTTTTCAGCAAATTTAAAATAGAAAAGCTTCTCTCTTTGTTGTAAAGGAAGCTCTGCAATATAATTTTGCCCCTTCTGTGGTTCTCTTCTCAAAGTGCACAATATTGCATTTAATTGGGGGCTGGAAACATTTTACAAAACCTCTGACAAGCTCCTGTTCCTGTCGCAGAGGAAAGGGAAAATGCCAGCTGTGTTAGTGCAGAGGAAGCCGGGATACTGTGGCGTGTTAACAGCTTGTCCAGGTTTCTGATCACTTCCTGCTTTCGGCACAGGTGTACCTTCAGTCCTGGTGACTATCAACTATCAAGCTCAAGACTCAAACAAAAGGGGGGGGGGGGGGGGGGGGTCGCATTAACAAGATCTTATACGAAATGAAATGCACTCATGCACACTCAAATAACACTGCCAATTAATTTCATGAAGGACAGCTTATTTTGCAGCACATAGTGGGAGAGCACTCCATTCACAGAATATTCAAAAAGAGTTCGTTGTTTTCATGAATGTAAGGGACCAAGGTGTTTATGTATTACAGGCATATGTTGTATAATATATAATGAACATAGGCTACCGTAGGCCATAGCCAAAGCCAAAACAAGAGATGTGCAGAAATGTCATCCTAGCCTTGCTTTCTCTGCTCGTAATAATATACACCAAAAAAACCTAAATGTGCTCTTAAAGGCTTAATATGCGATTTTTTGATCCAGCAGATGTCGCCCTTGAGCACCAGCATGAAACCAAAACAACTTGCGGTGCTTTGTTGAGTTAGCATGCTAATGCTAGCGATCTTTATTATGCTCGTATCTTCACACTGCATGTAAATTTACCCGAAATGAGCGTGATCTAGAAACACAGTTAAGCAGTGAGTACAGTATGTTATTCTTCTATTCTCTAGTCCCTCAATTAAACAACTTTTATTCGTGAGGGGAGGAGTCAGCCGGCCGTCCCGGTGATATGAACAAACTGAAGATAGGACTCGGAAAACTCAGAAAACATCACAGACAGTGAGACTCGAGTGTTACACCCATTGTAGACAGTCATGACTCACAGAGTTATTTTCAGAGGATATACTTGATTTCTATTATATTTAAGTGTGAAAAATAAAGCACATAAAGCCTTTAAATTAATGTTTACTTACAAAACAGTAGAAGAACTAATTACAAGATCGAAACACAATTAATTTGAGCAAATTTGTGTGTTTTAGATGTCTGGGCTCAACAGAGTTTTGTGAAGTCAAAGTGGAGTCACGAGCCAATAAAGGTTGGGAACCACTGCACTAAATATCGTACAGTATTTAGGATTTGGGAAATTGTGTGAGCTGGATTTTATCCTTTGTTATCTGGCTCTCATCAGCTGTTTTAATCATGGTACCTTCCAGTAATGTGCATTCAGGTGTGCAGCCCAGCCAACAGGACTTCTCCCTATGGCTGCTCTGTAGCCACTATTCATCCCATCTTCACTTGCTGCTTCAGCTTGCCCAGCCACCCCAACCTTTATTGTTAAGCTTTGAGATATGCATAGATCCTTATTTATATTTCCTCCTTGTTTTTTGTTGAGATTGTCCAAAGGTTCCGTCATACAGCCGAATGCAAGATCAGTAAAACAACAAGCTATTTATGATCAGCTTTTTCAGAATCATCAGAATTGTGAGCATTTAAATGCTAAATATATTTAGCCTTGTGATGAATAGAAGAAAAATAAGTCTCTTTAGAAAAGGTCTGTATAGAAGAATACGTTGATTTCTTCTTCTTTCACCAAAAATAGTTTAAATATATGACCAAATATAAAAGAGACTCAAATGTAGACATGCTGATTTGTTAATATACATTATTATTTAAAATTGTTCAATCACATCATTGTCTCATTGTTCCCTAATAACAGCAATGGGAGGGGATGTTATTGGAGGGGGATAACAGATGATCATGAGCTGTATTTATCCCCATGTCAGCCAGGTCGTCATACGGAACACATCCTCTGAGCTGAGATGGATTCTGCTCAGACCTACATTATGCTGCTACAGTGGCGCTGAGCTGTGCGTGGGAGAACAGAGCAGCCCTGGAGTGATAATTAGTCTGGTCTCTTGTTGGGCAGCTCATTCGCACATCACTATTGGCTCACTTATTTCCTTCTTTCCAACTTTGTTCCTCTGTATCTTCTTCCTCCCCCCCAAATCCCAACTTGGCTGCCCCTGTCTCTCTTTCTGTGCCTCTCTCTGTCTTAATTAGCCTTGATTCTCTTCCCTTAACTTTGGTTGGATTCTATTTGATTCAATTCAGCTGAAATCAAGTGAAGGATCGGAGGAGACCACAGAGTATCACAAACTACAACAAAAATACCAGCAGAGAAAGTTTAACTGTCTCTCTCTCTCTTCCTCTCTTTCTGAATTCTCTTTTTTCGACAGCCATGATGAGCTGCAGTGAAACTGAATAATTCACAACTGCAGCAGTAGCAGCACTCAGGAAGACCTCAGCAGACTGCTATACACAGGAAACAGTATGCCAGTTTGTTTCTGAAGATGCACAACCCAAGTACCTGTGCATCTGTTCCCTGGCACCGCAGGGTCTAATGTGGATACTAATGTAGCTTTTGTATTTCAGCCAATTTGTTCCCAGTGGCTGAAATATGTGCTTCCATGTTCAAGATGCCATTTGATTCAGTAAAGAAATATATTTTGTGTCAATGTATTCTCTCTCTGGCCTTACCAGCCAAACAGCACTCATATTTTCCATCTGGAGGATGTCCTTCTGGCTGCTATTCAATTACAAAAGCCCCGATTCAAAACAGATCGATCAATAGAGCCAATATGACAGCAGTGAACATGTTATTGTCCCTTTGTTTCTCTGCTAGGCACAGAGAGTTATTACAATGTAAGAGAGGCTATGATGGGGCTGTACATATTTGTTATATAAAATAGATAAAGCTATCTGTTATATAAACATTCCAGTAGACAAAACCCATCCTCCAACCAAGGAAAAGATGAAATGGAATAAAAAAAAGCATTGTTTTGTAAAACCAAACATGACTCATCTATGACCAGCTCTGTTTGCGCCTCTGACCCAAACCACATGTTTCAATCACGTGATGTGTGACGTCATGATCAGCCCTCATGCAAAAGAACATCAAGTCAGCCTTTGCCCCAGTCCAGGACAAACCTGACTCAAGCAATAAAGGTCAGGAGGAAGTGATGATTATTCAGCTGATCAGCATTCACTCAGTCTGGCCAAGAAGCAAAGGCTGGCTGATTCGAGCTGTCTTCTGATGACTGAATGTATTAGATGCAATTCTAATCATTTTAATGACTTCACTATTTTTCTGCTCATTCCTTATACATATCGTACATATCGAGACTCAACTATTGATATCAATCAGCGTTGATGAACATGTGTCATGACGCAGCAGCTCAAACTGGAGCTGCAGTTCATTTACGAGTATTTCTGAGTGAGCTGAAGGATAACATTACCAGCTGTAGCTGTGATTCCTCCACCTGTGCATCCACATGTGTAAGCAGTGAACTAAAGTGAATCCAGCCTACTCTGATTTTCCAAATGTGAAAATATTCAAACACTACAGGATGAGCAGACTGATCGCTGTCCTCCTGAGGATTAGCATGCAGCACTCACCGCTGTACGTGACAATCCGTATGGTGGAGTCGCCCTCTCCAAAACGTGTGATGGGGGTGAGGCGCACCTCGTAGGATTCGGGCTTTATGAGCTCAGTCAGGTTGTGTGTCATGAGCTCTCCTTTGTTGATCGCGCCGTCCACAGGGATCTCCTGCTCCCACCAGCGCTGTAACCCCATCTGGACAGGAAAAGGACAACAAGCGTTTCAGATGATTCAAAATCAGTTGCTCAGTTTTTCTCGTATACTATTTTTGGAGAAGGGTTGGTTGAAAAAAAAGCTTGATTAAAAACAAAAACAAACAAACTTTGAGCCATAACGGACTAACCAGTAAAGAAAAGAGAGTGATACTGATTAGAGATGCCATAACATTGTAAAGGTAAGACATATCTTCAGTTTACAAGGGTAATGTATTTCAATGACTGTGAACAAAGCAACAACGGAGAAGAGAAGAGTTGAGTTGAGTTGACTTGAGTTGAGTTGAGTTGAGTTGAGTTGAGTTGAGAAGAGAAGAGAAGAGAAGACAAGATAAGACAAGAGAAGAGAAGAGAAGAGGAGAAGAGAAGAGGAGAAGAGAAGAGGAGAAGAGAAGAGGAGAAGAGAAGACAAGACAAGACAAGACAAGAGAAGAGTAGAGGAGAAGAGGAGAAGAGGAGAAGAGAAGAGGAGAGGAGAAGAGGAGAAGAGAAGACAAGACAAGACAAGACAAGAGAAGAGTAGAGGAGAAGAGGAGAAGAGGAGAAGAGAAGACAAGAGAAGAGAAGACAAGAGAAGAGAAGACAAGACAAGACAAGAGAAGAGGAGAGGAGAAGACGAGAAGAGGAGAAGAGGAGAAGAGAAGAGGAGAGGAGAAGACGAGAAGAGGAGAAGAGGAGAAGAGAAGACAAGAGAAAAGAAGAGGAGAAGAGAAGAGAAGAGAAGAGAAGAGAAGAGAAGAGAAGAGAAGAGAAGAGAAGAGAAGAGAAGAAAATACGAGGATAAAGAGCACCAGTCCTAGTTGGTGCTAAAAAATGTACAGTCTGGGGTCCAGAAGCCTAGCAGGAAGCACACCCCATGCACAGAGGACTTATACTATACCTTGAGAGCTGGTGGCCCAGGTAAAAATCCGGGGGGAAAAAAAGGATCATAGTTTTGATTCAAGAATTTGCAAACATCTTCTTTAATCATTTGATCATAAAATAAAATCAGAGTTCTCAAAATGATTTGCATCCTTTGTGTCGTTGTGTTGTTTCAGATCAACGTCAAATAATCAAATAAAGAATTTAAATACATACAGAAAAAGGCACTACAATAATATGAATAAGTATAACTTCATTCATAACAGCTAGCTGCTCTTTAGCTACATTAACCTTCAAAGTAAATCCCTGAAATAAATTCCCAGTCAGATTTTTCTTGTTAAACATACCATATCAGACTGCATGACTACATTACCAGCACATACGTATTTGCGACTACAGCGAGGACAGCACCTCTGTGCTCTGAACACAATCCCCTCATTCTTCTAAAGTTTGTCTTTGGTTATACTCTACAATGTTTTGTTATCCTTTTCCACAGGGACCTTGAACTGACAGGAATTTATATCTCTTCTTTGCACAATGCAGAGTACAAAAGAGAAGCTACTTTAGATGACTAAGCTCAGGTATCACACAAAAATTAGTTCATGCTTTTCATGTCTGATGATACAATAGAGCCTCCCCCAGAAATTCAAAGAAACAAAACGAGGGCTTGCTGCTGCATTTGCTTGGGGCGAAGAGAAAAAAAAAAAGTCGGCACATTATATCCTTGAGATTCAGTTTAAGGGAAAGACAAGTTACAGCTTCTGCATCACAATTAGTGACTTTACATGCCCTTCTCAGTCAAAGGGAAAGAAGAAATGTGTTACCAACAGAGACAGACAGAGATAGAGTGAATGGAGGTGTGATAGCAGAGGAGGGGAGTCAATGTATGTTTGTGTGTGTGAGAACAATACCAATTAAGTAATTACTTGGTGCCTGGATGATCCACAATTATAGGGGTGCAAGTTTTCATCAGCATTAGTTTGCAGGTAAATAGAGTGTTTTGTCTGCCATGGGTAATTGCAGATGGAGCACTTGTCCCTACCTATCCTTTCAACTTTTCAGCCAGCCTCTAAAGTACAAATGGCACGGCGGTTAATTGCTATAAATTACACAGAGCTGGTCTGCAAGTGTCTGTGTCTACTAAGAACACCACAGAGGAGGATGTATCTTTGTCAGCACATTTGGTATCATCAATATGTGTAAAAAACAAACTGTCTATAAAAATAGTGACAGAAAAGTACATGTGATGTTTACAACTATAGACATACAGATGTACTCAAAATGACGCATCTTGTTATTTTCATTTTTGGCAGCCTGGCTAATGTCTGTTAATCGATGGTGGGTGGTTTGCAGATGCCAAAGTGAATGTTTTCTTTCTCATGTCTGCAGCGATGGGCGGGTGGAATATTCAGAAGTTATTTACACAACTGACAAAATGTATTTTCATCATCGTCTATCTGTAAGCAGTGGTAGTAAATCATGTTGGCGCATTGAAACCACCATCAATCTGGGCCCATAAGCTGGTTTGCGGGGCCTAGTGGTTATGTACAGTAAGTCCTTCAATTGGGCGGCCTCTTGTTTGAATCCAATCTGTAGCTCCTTTCCTGCAGGTCATTCCCCACTCCCTCTCTCCTCGATTTCTGACTCTGTCCACTGTCCCGTCTAAATAAAGGCATACAAAGCCCCAAAATAAACCTTTTTCAATGTGCTTAAGAACAAAAACACGTCAATGATTAGTTTTTACCTAATGTTTTCTTAAGACGCAGATGTCTAACAGAGGTAGGTAACTACGGTAACATAAAAATGAAAACAGGTTGGAAGTAAAATAGTACACCAACATTTTTGGACCGCATATTGTCATGAAGAGAGGAGACTCTTATTCACTGAATTAAACTGTGCTTCAACTTTCTGATGGCCAATTCTACTGTCTGTTGTTGTAATATAGCTTTTATGATCCAACATATATGTGCAATGAGCCACAGAAAAACTCTACTTCTGCAGGGGGTGAAGCCAGGTAGGCTGGGATACATCAGAGGCTTTGTTGCTCCGGTTACTCAATTTAAATACATGCACATTCTGTATGTTGTCAGCACATTTGTTTTGAACAGTGAACGGAGAGTTACTTACTGGAACTATTAAAAGGTTTCCAATTCTCTATCGTGAACTGACGCTACTCAGCCATTCAGAAAGCGGTTTTCACCCAGACCATGGTATAAGATGTGCAAGTAAGATGTAGCTGAATCCTTTGGAAAAAATGATTTGGAAAATTATATCTAATGGGGGATGTGTGTGTGTGTGTGTGAGAGGGTTTGTTTTTGTGTCCCAAAGCTCTCGGCAGATGGAGGCCTTAAATGCTGGTCTTGGCAAACACTTCCTCAAGCTCTAACAACAAGTAGAAGCAAAAAAAAAAAATCCATTTCATGAACATGAAAAAATAATAATTGAGCTTAAAAATGCAAATCAGATTGAATGTGAATTTTAATTGAGGGAAGAAAAAAATCTTAAAAGATGTTTTTGATCGTACACATACTTATAGGCTTATAGATTTGGCACTTTTGTTTTGATTGTCATTAACGCTCACTAAAACCCTGCTTCTGCGCTCAATTAAGGTTTCTGTTTACATCCCATTACCTTTCATTCCCCACATTTTCCCCACAGAGGCAGTGCGCCATATCGATTTCATTTCCTTTGATTGCAGCAGCAGTTGGGGATTTTTATGGCAAATTTGAAAAACAGCAGGATTGATCAAAGTGATAGCTGAATCAGAAAGAAAATAATTAATAATCAGAGTGATGTAATGTTGCCCACGGCTTGATCTACTGTAGATTGCCTATGTGTAATTAGTATGGCTCCTATTGATCTGCCAGCACACACTGACTTGACAGATCAATTGAAAGAGAGCAAAGGAGGAAGAGTCTGAAGAAGCAGTTCTGAGGTGGCTGGATATATAGATTGGAAAAGCTATCTTCCAGAGGTTGGAGAAGGGTAATCAAGCTTGTGGACAGCAGAAGAGGGTTTGGAAGTAGCCAGCTAAGGTATCAAAACAAGGCCAGATGTCACCCCTTTCCATTGAATCCCTGACAGGTGCCGTGATTTGTGTTCTATGATTCTCGCCCGTGCATGCCTTTCAGCTCGAGCTTCATTCCCGTTTCCCCTTCAGCAAGACTGTCTCTCAGGAGAGCACTGGACGATAACACAAAGCAATCCATTACAGAGGCACACACTCTATCAGCCCTTAGTATTAATTCAAAAGTAGGGAGAGAAAATTATAATAATTCTCTGGGAGCTGCTGCTGGATCTATGAATAGATCAAAGCGGTGTAGTCAATGTGCCGAAACCTTCTTTACTGTACCTCTCCTTACAAGAAAGGCCAGCTGCATTTATTTATTAACAAAAGAAACCTTTACTCTACTTATTTTTGTGTCTTATTTTCTCACTCCCTCTCTGGTTCCAATGCTTCATACCTAAAAGGCATTTCACACCTCTTATCACCAGTCCAAATCAATACTCAAAGCAGAGTCAATCAATCACATAAGGTTGGTGTGTAGTCAATCCTGTGGAAAAAGTCTCAAAATCTTCCCTACAGTGAAGAATCTCTTTCAACTGAGACAATGGAAGATTGGTTGTTATGCCCAGCAGGAAGAAAATAATGGTCACAGTGTGTACCCTCTTGAGATATCAAGGCAAGAAGGTGGAGAGAAATTAATTTGCTTGTACACTGATTGTGTGCAAAAACAGACTGCAGGAGTGACGTGCTCATTTTTAATAAACAAATGGAGAAAAGGTTGAAGAGTTAATGAGATTCCTGAATGACTGTGAGTCTGTTTAAGCACAGATGTACGCAGGACTATTGCCAAAAAAAAAAAGGGTGAAACAATGTATAGTCCTGGCAGGTTTTTATTCAAACGCCTGGCAAGCTGGAACATGGGCTCTGCAGGCACAAAATCATTTATTACCAAACAGACCAACTGAGATGGTTGACAGAAAAATCATTGCGCTACACAAACAGAACTGGTGCAGAATGTGTTTTCAGGCTTCAATTCCTTGTGGATGTAGTGTGAAACAAACATTAAATTATATTATTCATTGCAAACAACTGTCAGGATACGCTCGCTACTTCTGAGCAGAGCTGAGAAAGATTAAGCACCGCAGTATGCACTATTTTCTTTTTTTAATACATTGCTTTCTTTTTTTCCAACAAGCTCTCGAATTGAAGCCAAAGCAAAGCAATGTTAACCCGAACATCTGTGGCGTTCAAGGAGCCAATTCAATATCTCAAACTTTATATAAACTGAAGGTGGTGCAACACCTGCTACTGTAAATAAAAACTCTTTAAGGCCAAAGTGTTGTACACTGCCATGGGGAGAGAAAGAGAGGAAGGTAAACATTGATTGCCAAAGAGAGAAACTGTAACCATGCCATCCATCAACGCTGCCAGCCTGTCATCTGCGGAGTTTACTTGAGAAGCAGCAAAAAACAGGAGCTTTTCTTGCACTTTCCCTCTGCGGGGTTCCCTTCCTCTCCTCTGACTGAGCCTCTGAGTGAGAGCAAAGACATGTGCAAATCATGATAACCTAAGAACTTACTGAAACCAATTCCCCTGACGGTTTCTTATTCATTCTGCAATGGCCCATACTGGCTCGTTCCAACCCTCAAAAACTGCAGAAAAAGGCAGTCAGTGAAAAGCAGCATAAGATTTGGTGCTGTCAAATGGAATACAACAAACAAGAGCTCGCTGTGAACATTCTTTATCGCCTGCTTACATTGGCAATAACAGAGGTTTGTCATACCACGTGGCGGCATCATCAAACAACAGTAGAAAACAGTCTGACCAATAGCAATGACTCAACGTTATTTCACCAGAAGCAAACATTTCTTGAGGCTGTAATAACAGCACATTGAAAATAGACGTCTCAATGTAAGGAGAACTAAAATGTGGCACCAATAGGTTAAAAATAGAATAAAAGTAGATTAGAAAGCACAAGACAGTTATCTCTAAGTCTTCCTACCTGTCGGATGCCCAGTCTGTAGGCCACAATGCGGTCCACAGCGTTGGGGTTCATCTGGGTCCACTGCAGCTTGAAGCCATAGACTCTGGGTCTGTTCTGCCACAGAGGGCTGTAAGTGTCGTAGTAGAACTCTGGAGGGTAGGCCTTGCCTGGAGAGAAAGCAGATTGAAAATATATGAACGCTTGAAGAAAATACAGAAAGCACAAATTGTACAGGCAACATCATAGAATTTAAAAATGCCTGTATCTCACTAAGCTGTGTAAACTCCTGTATATTTGTTTTCAGTCATAATTTTCTTTCAAACTGTGCATATCTTTTTTGTTTCTAATGAATAAAACAAACTATTCCCTTTATTTCTGTTAACATTTCTTACTAAATATTTTCCTCCAAAGAGAATGCCAATCCATAGATTGTTCCTTTTTTGGCCTATTTGCCTTTATTGATGTGACAGCTAGAGAGAGAAGCAAATATATGTCGGAAAGCTTGGAGTAGATGTGCGTCAAAGGGCTGAGGCCAGGAATTGAACCTGTGGGAGGTCGGTAAAGGAATGTAGCCTCTGTTTATGGGGTTCCTGCACCAGCAACTGAGCTAAACTGGTGCCCCACCAAACCAGTTACCTTGTGAAAATGACTCATTCATTCTACATTAAAACAGTGATTGTACCTGTTTGCCTAATACTGATACATATTTAAGAAGGCACAAGCTGTTTTTTCACAGTAAATTGTAAAAAAAAATACATGTACTTTTGTAGCAACAAGTTTATATAGCAAGATGTCATGTTTAAAGTTTGATCTACGACACAATGCAGGACTATAGTAAGAAACTCACAGGCAGTGTAGAACACATTATACGGTAGCTTTAACACACTAAGTAGTACTTGCCACAAGTACCCAGTTCTTGAAACATATATATCCATATATGCCTTCATTAGATAAGATAGCTGATGATAGATAGATAGATATATAGACAGACAGACAGACAGACAGACAGACAGACAGATAGATCGAAGAGATCAGATAGATAGGGGAATTTGCATACGTCAGCTCGCAATGGCCGGGCCTCGCCATGGTGAACCACCTTCTTGATCATGGTATCTCCCCTGCCAGGTAAGAAGATATTTTGGCCCTTTGTTGACATGCAGCAAAAAGCCGAGGTTGAATCCATGACTGTGCCACTAAGACTGTAGTCTCTATACATAACCGCTAGGCTAACCAGTGCCCCAAATGACCGTACATTTTACCTGTTGATTTCAACACACTGACACTGTTATATTTGCAGAGTGAATCATTAGGCAGACTCAGAAAAGTTCATCTTAAACCATTTGCATGAATTCACAGCATTAAAGTCAGAGGGAACGTGAATGGTAAACACACGCAAATGGAATAAATTTCATGTTTTATTCTAAAAGGTCAGTGTAGATAGAGTTGTATTATTATCAAGTGAAATGTGTAAGAATTCTTACTCATGTAGAATTAAAGTAGGTCTGTGTGCGTTTCAGAGAAGCTCTGCTCTGCAGCAGTGTTTGATTTTTCACACCGTGCATGTATTCTTTAATATTTTATGGTAAATATAAACTTGTAAATCTTTTATCTGCTTACATATGGAGCCTTAAAGCCTAAAAGAGATCTGGATTAGCATGACAAAGATGTTCAGTATGTTTCATCATCATGTATATATCTTCTGTTTGCTCTAGTTTTTATTCATTCTGTGTGTTGGTCTTGTATGTCCATTCTTTCTATAGGATCATTAAAGATGTATCTTATATGATCTGAGGAATAGTGCTTCACTTGTATTGAATCAAAGCCTGTACCAGACAGTTTTATGTCTCTTGAATGTGACGACTATCTAAAGCATGATGGCAGATCCTACCTGAGATGCCTGTAAACTCAAATCGCCCCCTCAGTAGAAATTATTTCAAACAGCCTGTGCTCGTCTTTTTTAGAAACACACACACGCATCCTCTGAAAGCTTTTCTTTAAAAAAACATGATTTGCTTTGTTTGATACTGTTGAGGATTTCTTTTTCTACAGCGATCCTGGCGTGAGCTGAATGAATCTTTCAAGTTTCCAGCTTTGCAGTCACTCTTTTAAAGCAGATTTCTGACAGCTGAGGCAGGAGCAGGCAGAACCCTGAGTTTTAATCAAGATCTAGAAACAAGCTTACAGGATGACCTTCAGTGCAAATAACAAGAATCTAACCAGTCTAAGGCATGTTTATTGATGGATAACAACATCCAGGGCTGATGACTGTAATAGCTATTGAAATGACAGAAGACTTGCTTTTGCTGGCTGGAACAATAGTAACATCAATATGTTATATACCTGTGTGGAGATGCAGCAAGTGGTTGATGTATGTCATGCAATTACATAAATCTGTCAAATAAGTTTGTGTCACTGATTCATTGTAATGGTGTAATTATTTGTAAACAGGGTTACTGTTCTCCTGGGAATATCCCTCCTCAGTCTTGGCGTGTTTAGGTCCTTGATCTATTCAATTGCCTTTAATTTGATTATGTGTTACGATACTCAGGGGAGGATAAAAACGATAACCTGGGACTTGAAGGTTGTAAGTTCACATGATGACTGGTCTTAAATCTTTGCTTATTATGGTTATGATATATAGGCTACAAGCTCCATCTTCAACTCCATCTTAATTTTGTCACATATTATACTCCTTTTCAACAAGTTTAAATAAGCCTCAGAGCTCCCAAAACATGCCTGAGAAGTTTCTTGTTATTAATCCACTCTAATCCTGTATTTTATCATGCCTATAAATGCCTCTATTTCAGCCCTGCTCAGAACAGGCTGTTTAAATGCAAAAAATGTCCCTCTGGAAGGGCTTGGGTGGCTTGGGCTTTCTTGCAACATGCCTTTTTGTTAACAGTGGAAAGGCACTGTAAAGACTCAGAGGGCACAACAAACACCTACCTGTGGGAGTGTCACCCACCTGGAGGAGAGGTTACTACCCTTTGTGATGTCACAAAGGGAAATCTCCAAAGGGCCTGTTTGAGCACGCATTTTCTGAAAAGTGGAGAGGATTTAATTTTCTCATATTGGAGAGTTTGTAGACAGACTAGGGACGCATAGTGTTTGAAAAACATGTTGAAGTGTATTAATATGTGACCTTTAAAACTTTTTTTGGTGTGACAATGTTTAGATATTTTTTTTTAAAAGACAGAGCGTGTCAAACCAACATTTAAGTTATTAAAATTTCCTGAAAGAGCTGAAAGCTTGTCTTAAGATCAAATCTATACCTCAACATAAAACGATGAGGCAAACACTTTTGGATGTTGATGTAAGTATAGACAAGAGAAACATATGGTGGATGATTCCGTCATGTCTTTTTTTTCATTGCAGCTAGTTAAGTTAACATGTAAAATCAGACACTTAGGTATAATAGCTCAAATTTAAAGAAAACAGAAGCAGTGAGACGGTAAGAATAATCTCACTGGTTTGATCATTTCTAATAGATGTCCGTAATAATTTATTGAAATAAACAATTAGGGAAGTTTTCATTCCCATTTTAGTATAACAGTTCAGGTTAAGGATGCTTTGTGCCGACCAATGCAGATCTCTGTGTACATAGAAAAAACCCAGAAAAAGCAACAGCAACAAAAAATGAATTAAAAGAAAAACAACCGAAGTGAGAACAATACTTTTGATATGATAAACAATGCAGAGGTAGTAGATGCATCTAAAAAACCTCAGGATGATAAATGCACCAGAATTCTTCCTGTTTTGTAATCAAGACTCTTTCACACAAAAAGAAAACTACCTCCATTGCTCACTCATATGCTAATAGGACTAGATAAACATATTTCCCAGCACACACAAACACAAAAACTAGAATAAACATTGTCTGCACCTCACTTGGCAGAGTTTGGCTGTATAGAGCCAGCTGTGTTTACAGCACACTGTACAGTAACTGTTACGTCAGCCAGCCTGGCAGATGCTGCCAGCTTTGTTTATACAATTCATCCTGCACAGCACAATGAGACTGATATAAATATAATGAGGCTATAATTAAAAGTACAGCAAAATCAAAAAGTATGCTTTGATAAGTAGTCTAGAGTGCTTAAGGAACACATGACCAAAGGAATTGGATTCATACAAGTGCGCTTTGTGCCATAAGAGGTCAATAAGACACTACATTCATTTTTGCATTAATGCTGTCTTATTTTGAAAAGACTTTTGAACCTAAATGTAGTCAAAGTATTGATATTGTCGTGACCTCACAAGTGAATTGTCCTTATTCCAATATGTAATGTAACATTTATAGCAGAATGTCCCTCAGTCCTAATAATCCATTTCATTTTATGTGATGCAGCATATTATATTATCTAACCCACTTACACTGCTTGAAACAGTTAACCCTGGGTGGGAGACATCAAACATGGAGTAGAGACGGCTTAATTGATTTTTTTTTTTTTTTTAAATCCTGTTTATAACAGCAGAACCAATGCAATGACTCACAACAGCTCAGCAAAGGAAACCTTGAGGCGAGAAGTTGACCTTGTTTGCAGACTTCAGTTTCATATTTTAAGGTTTTATGAGCATGTTTTCTTCATCAGGAAAACACTTTGTCCCACCATATGCTGAGGGCTGCTATATGGTGCCGTGCTCATGTGTGATGTAGGCCGTTGTGGCACAAACGATGCTTGCATATGTATGCACATCTGGCCGAGACAAAGCCAACACCACGGCACGAACAGCTAACTGACTGTAGGGAAAAGACATTAGAGGCATTAGAAGACTGGGTGGTAATTGCTTGGTTGTGGCCTTCTGGGATAGAGGATGAAATCTCTCTGTGGTTTTTTTTTTCTCTCTGAGGGAAATGCCATTTAACTTGTAATAAGTCACTTCCACTTTTACTATTCAGCGGATTCTCAACTTCCTCCCTCCCCCATAACCCACTTGAACAAAGGAGGGGAAAAAAAAACCCAGAAAGATTTTGAAAAGTTGATCATAAAAACTGGGATGAATTGAGTTTCCTTTGACCCACTGTGACTCCTAATTTTTTCTTGGTCAGAGTAAATTGAAGGCTGCTCTAATAGTGTAATAGCTTATTGATATAAAAGACGCAGAAAATAGGTCAGAAAACAAAAAAAGGGACAGAAAAATGGGCAGAATAGATTGTCTGACTCTCAGTGTGGTCACAGGTAACATTATTCATACGCTGTCTTATTACTCTGATCACATAATGTGAGCCATTACTGCAGACAGGATCCATCAATGTCAGGGTGTCTCTTTGAGCTGCAGAAGGTATTCAACATCATTCCCCATTTCCTGCACCAAAGAGGTTAAGAGTCTGATGAACATGACACAGACATAAAGCCAGAGAGTTTTGTTACAAAAAAAAACACTTCTAGAACTCAGAGCAAAGCAACAAAGGTTTGTTTAAGACCTGAAGTGATGTTTTTAAAACCCAGAGAGAGAGAGAGAGAGAGAGAGAGAGCGCAATATGCAGGTTTGAAGGCAAAACCAAGTAAGGGTGTTTTCTTTTACTTGAAGATACATTTTTTATATAATGAAGACAAAAATAACATTAACGCACAAAATATCTGATTGTACTACTGTAGCTCAAAACATACCCTGGAGGCTCATCCAAAAACACCTCAAAGAGCCAAACAAACATGCAAAAAATAAACGTGGCTGAGAAAATCATTTCTCCAAACTGATGATGGATTAAATAATAGTGCATTAAAATAGACCGAGTGCAAATGAGGCTTAATAAGATTGCGAGAGTGTGTGTGGGTGTCTCACTAAGATTAACATATTTTCCTCCTAAAACATATACAGATATCTAATTTCAGACAATTTATGGTGATTCTTGCGTCATTAGGAACAATTGCCACAGCAAAAAGAGGGACTTGGAGCATACAAGGAGATCATTATGAAGAATCTGCAATATGCAGAGAATGAATGTCTGGACATAGTCTCTGAGAATTTACTTATTCTTGTCAACTAATTCATGACACGATGCCAGAGAGAGGAATTAAATGTTGGAGAAATGAGAATCCCTGTTTGCACTTTCTCTGCAAATTCAGGAGATCTAACAAAACTGCAGGATGAATGCAGACATGTCACTCACATGAAAGAGGGAGGAAGAAGTTGGAGTTAGTGGTGCAGCATGGCTGTGTTTATTATAAATGTAAGTTTCCTTGTAATTACAAAATATACCACCCTTAAAGAAGAATTCCAGTGATTTTAAAAACTCACATTACTTTTAAGATAAATTGTAGTAGGTTGGGGTGAATAGAGAGGTTTGTGTAAAGAAGCTACTGAGTTGCATTATGGGATTTGTAGGACCCAGGGCATTAGTGGTGTAGTGACATCAAATCTATAATTATGAAATCAAACTCTAAATGGATGGAATATGCCTTTTAATCACACATAATGTGCATTGTGTAACCTGAGCTTCACCCTATCACTGCTTCATCAGTACACATTTGCAGCTTGAGGACAGGATGTACCGTACATGGAGACTTGTGCATGAAACACGGACAGCATCAGACTGGAATTGATTCAGTGAATAAAAGCAGCACACACAGAGAAGAACTCTTCCTCTCCGTCTCTTAACTATAACCCTTCAGAACAGCATGGTTTCAGCGTTTTGTTCAAAACTTGTGTTTTTTCCTGACAGAGACCCCGAGCCAAGGCTTAGCGGTACACATTACAACCCTCTGAGGGGTCTCTCCCCTGGCACGATTTAATGGCCAACTTGGCCATCAGAGCCAACTCACTGTGTCCACAGATGTCCCAATGGCTTGGCACATGAGCATCCATGCACATGCACACACACGCTCCCATGGCACAGTCCCATTTTTTACGCCAAAGAACAAGCGATGTCTGGCCTTGGCCTGTTTGCATGTGTCTGTCAGCATGGCAACATGTATGTTTTGCTTGGTATGTTGACCTGATCTGTAAGTTTAATTGAGCAACCATGGCTTCAGGCCAAAGCAGAAGACTGATATGTTCATAGCATGTAACCTGTCTTCACTTTGTAAAGTTAGCAAACCATAGTATTACCCTCTTGCATGAGTTATAACTAATATTTCATGAGCAGAGACATAGAGATACAGCTGTGATTGGATTATTATTTCAGACACACGACTGACCCAAATTGGTCTCATATTGTAGCATTTGAATTTCTGGTTAAAAAAAGGATACGAAGAAATTCAAGAAAAAGGGCTGGAATTAAGGGAAGAGGGCACGCCACATTTCATGGATGATGGGAGGAACCAAAGTGGATTTTCTGCACCATGCTCCTGCACTCAGGGGGTTACTAAAAGAGCCTCTATACCTTTGGCAACCACTGAGTCCAGATGGTGGGAATCTGGAACATTGGGAGAGGGAGGAATGAAGCGACGGCAGTAGAGAGAGAGAGAGGGAGAGAGAGAGGGAGAGAGGGAGGATGAAAGGGAAGGAAGAGGAGTGGAGGTTGAAGGAGCGAGAGTAAAACCCCAGCCCTGTTGAGCAAAACAAATGGCTGGAGGAGGCTATCTGCTGCTGTCTCTCAGCTCTACCTGTTTCAGCCAGAGAGGACTGATTTATGACACACACGAGGAGTGGTGTCCATCTTTAGAGGGATGATGATGGAGAGACGTTTAAATGAGAAATGGAAAGAACGAGGGAAAGGAAAAATTGTCAAAGCAAAACAGGAGATGGAAATATTGTGTGGAGCAAAGATACCATAGAAGACAGCAATAGATGGAGCAAACTCAAAGAGGAGAGCAACCTAAGTGGCAGGAGATCAAAGTGACAAATACTCCTCTGATGACCCTGCAGCTCCCGTCTCTAATGGGAGGTCTAGGAGATTGAAACCTTGGACAGAGTTCCTGCGGTCACTCAGCACAGCCAAACTCATTTGATGCTGTCATAACAACCAACCAGGAGATGGACACTTCTAACCCTATATGAAAAAAAAAAGCCAGCATCTAAAAAATAACCTTAGGTGTTAAGTGATGGTTATCCGACATGCAAGATAATGAAGAAGCTGATTGACATGTCCAATTCACATTGACAGAGAAGTCATTCTTTCTTTCATTCTTCTTTTAAATTAATTGTCCAGCGTACACAGACATCCCTGAAAACATAATGTGACAAGGACTGTTATTTTTTAAGGAGCCAATTTCACCTGTCTAAAATATTCATAGTGAAACAATCAAATTACCAGCTTGACTGCAAACTGACAGAACCGTTACAGGACGTAGATTCATGACAGATAAACGGTTTTCCATCAAACACAGCATCGAGGTGAATGAAACACGCTGACAGTCCATTTAAACCACTTAAGTGTGCCAAAGAGGAAGGAAGATTCTTTATAAAGTCTAAAACTAAAAACACAAGTGCAAAACAATGTGTCCATGTCTTAGCATATCCTGCTACAGTAACTATTAGCTCAACACACAGAACCCCATCTTATTTGGAGGGGTGGGGGGGGTGGGGTCGGTGTAACAGGTAAGAAAAAACATGTTGTTAATCTGGCAGATTTAAGGGAGTCCATCACTGACCGAGGACTTTTTCTCTGGGACATGCAGCTAGAGCCTCCGTTTTTGACAAAGAGATGATCTTACAGTGTCCATGTTTTAAAAACAATTACAGTACAAGTGAGTGTGAAAAAAAAGTGCCAGTAAATAAACTCATGGAGCTTGATTGATCTTATTTTGCTACAGCAGCTTGCTCCTGTAGATATAACATTAAGCAACAGTAGTCATTTAGCTTGAAACATTGCACCATTGAGGATAGCCAACAAAATGTGGATGAACTATTGGTTTAAAAAAAAAGAATAAGAATGATTAAGTGAATATTCTGCCTCAATGATCTTTATCCTCAATGTTGTATATTTGATATTTTACTTATTCAAGAACAGAATCGTTTACAAGCAAAGCGTCATTAGCTAAGGGGGGCAGAGGGCTAGTTTCGGGATTGTTTATGTTTCCTATGTTTATTTTATTATATTTTATCCTTTGTGGTAAGGGAATATGTGTTATATTTAACATGAATGTGGCCTTCAATGTATTGTACCAGAGTTAGCTTGACCTAAATTCCTAATACCTAATTTCATCTGTAAGTCTGCATGTCTTTTCTATCCTCTCAGGGTCAGTGTTCAACCTTCTGAACATGTTCTTATGTACTGGGGGATATTTCCAAAGGTTGCATGCTCCAAACAACTATTTCCACAGGTCAAAACATGTTCAATTTATGTATTCTAGGTTCATTAAGTTGAAATCCTCCATATTCAAGCTTCAGATATTTTACGACCTGAAAACTAACTCCTTTGCAGACAAACCATTCTTTCAGCTAAGAGCCTGTTCTGTCCTCAGGGGTTGTGTTTGAATTCTACCAATCAAAAAAAAAAAAGAGATCGAGATACCGTACCAATTTGATACAATCTAGTCAAAATAAGGAGCATGGTTCAAAGGGCTCTTCTACCATGAATACCAGTACATTTCAGTTTAAAAGCAGTTTAAAAGCATGACAGACACAAATCTTTAAAGATAAGCACTTCTTACCTGTAACCTGGAAGGTGCATTTTCCTGCTCCTGCCTCGTTGATGACATTACAGGTGTATTCACCCCACCCGTCTCTATTCAGGTTGCGGATGGTGTACTCCGTCTCATCTCTTTGGGCATCGAATGCCCCGGCATGGAGCAGTCGGTTGGATAGAAGCCACTCAAACCTCAGCACACGGGAAGGGTGGGCTCGCAGCACCCTGCAGGTCATCACCACAGGCCTACCTAAGCCCTGCCGCATCTCCATGAAAACCGGCTCCACAGTCGGGGGATCTGCGTGGGAGACGGACAGAATCAGATAGGTTCAGCTGACTTTTGTTAAGGACAGACTAGTGTGTCAAAGATGTGTATGAAAGAATGTCTGGATAAGGAGGACAAAAAGGAGAAAAAGAGAAAGAGTAGGAGGAAGGTTTTGCTGAAATCGGAACAAGACAGCTGCCATTCAGGCAAGAGCTTTCTCGTCAGACGAGTTCATATCTGACCTCGCAGTGAGAATATCTGGAGGATAAAGAAGAAAGCCCAAAATATTGAGTCTAGAAGAGTAAGGTATGTGATGAATAAACAAGAAAAGTTCAAAATTTAGACAAGGACGTGTTATGAAAGTGATGAAAAAGGAAAAAGGCTCTGAGCAAAGAAGCTCACCCACAGCCTGAAAAAGACAAATTTGGAAGGAAATAACAAAGCTTGTGCAACACATGTTGACATTAAGCACAGACAACGACAGAGAGAGAAGCAGAAGAGAGGTAGTCTCTAGTTGTAACATGAATAAGAGGGGGTTAGCAGGGAGAAATGGTTAGATATTCATGTGCAGTCAAAACATTTGAAATAACTCTAAAACAATCAAAAGCACAAAGTCGATACAGCTCAGCCACTAATGAAAAATGGCGTGCGGAAACAATTGCAGGGAGAGTGGCAATGCACGCAGGAAGATCAATTTAACAGGTAACTTGGAACAATATTCCGAGCGAAATCAGTCACGCTTCACAGAAAATGGGTAACAGCATGATGAAGTGCAGCACACACTTTCAAAATGGAAATTAATAACGTATTTGAGTATCTTATAGGCGCCACCTTTTCCCACGCAGACTAACTGCTGCTGAATTATTCAGCCTGTCATCTCAGTGTAAAGTGGGGGGCTGCATACGACCTCCGTGCAACCCAGACACTCCCGCTGCATGTAGGAGTTTTTTTTAGATGTTAGTCAAGTGTAAAATGTGTGCTAGATGCGATGTACATGCGTGGCGACAAAACGTGAGTGCAGTATTTGTTTTATGAGGACAAGATGCGTGTAAGTGCTTGCACATGCTACTTCTGAAACTATGATGAATAATTTCCCCCCCATCTTGAGCTTCTCTGCTCTTGTCATGCTCGTACAGATGTTTGACAAAAGTCGAGAAACTACAGTGACTGCTGAGGAGAAGAGACACAATGACACAGAGCTTCTTAATTGCCAGAAATTTGCATAATTTCCTGCAAAGTAAAGGAGAGGCGGGAAGCTACAGTACAGCCAGGGCTAGGGATGTTACATTTAAAAAATGTAATATGCTACAGATCACCGGTTACCTGATTGAAACTGTAATCTGCAACATAATCGTCTACATTATTCACTCACGGTAGTATAATCTAATTACTGAGCTTCCAAATTTGATAGGATATGAAAATAAATGAGCAGTTTATTCATATTTACAGCATGTCATTTGATAACACTATTAATGTAATTATCTAGAATCTTAATAGGCCATTTTTTAAAGTGACGTAAAGATGCAAAAAAGGGTAATCTCTCCAAGGAGACTAACACATGCACGTCTGCTTTCCAGGAAGTATTCAGCCTTGTTTTTAAAGACGCTAATTTTGTTTTTCTGCAGCGCATAATTGAGTTAACCTCAGACCAGCCAGTGGAGAAGGGCATTGTTATGGCAAAATGTAAGCTGTTAACATCATAGCATATGCAAAATAATACACCAACAGACAACACTCCAAAGAGGGATTTTAGTCTCCCTTCCTCGATTCTAATGATCACAAACAACAAACGTGGATTTAACACGGCAGCTTCTCTGATTAATGACACACCATTAGATCGAATAATGACTGGCTGAAGTGTGAGGAATAACAAATCATAACACATGGAATGACTAGAAAAGTAAACAAGGGGTTTGAACTGAAAGGAAGCGGAAAAAAAAGTTTGCCTTCTTCACCTGATGCTCTTCACAAGGTGGAGAGTAAAGTGGCTTTCATCTAAATGAAAGAGCAATCAGTTCCTCCTTCAAATGTGCCTTGCCTGGGCTTTTACCAAGACCCGATGTCTTATCTCTGACTGCAGGAGAAAGGTCTGAATCTCTACTTATCACATTAAAATTGTAGGTTTGTGTGTGGCTGTGAATCACAGCTCAGCTCCACAGCCTCCCTGAGTGGCACTAGACCAAATTGCAGTAAGTGCATTTCCATTGACAGAGAAAGACAAATGAAGACAGGGTTGGGGTCTGCTGCAAATGGAAAAAAAAAATCTCTTATATAACCAAAACATCCTTTAGACAAGGGTACATGCCTCATCTCCCCCAGCGTACGTCTCATGTGAAGCAGCTGCCTGGTGAACAGGAGGGGAAAGGAGTGAAAAAAAGGTCCCCGTCTGATATTCCCTGAGCAGCACCCGCCATGGTTAGCGTAGCAGCGAGGGCGTATAGAGGGCTCAGAGTTGCTGGAAGTCAAAGGCTGAGGGAAAATCCTGAGCACGGGCTGAGATGTAATCCATCATCAGTCACAGGTGGGTTCCTTGACAGTAATTCGCTGAAAAACAACTCTTAAGAGCACAGAGGCCTTTTCCCCACAGTCCATAGAGCCTCCATCTACAGGGAGGAGGACAGATCAAAGACCAGGGTATACATGTGGGAAACATGCACATATGTGTGTTTGTGGAAGAGCAGTCAGATTTGTGTGGAGCTGTATTTCTGGAATACTGCTTGACTGCTTTACAATAAACGTCAGCTTCAGTCGAGATGGGTTACATTTTCCATCCACATGCTTCGGGTGAGTGCATCAAGAAAGGGACATGCAACTCCTATGGGCAAGCCTGCAAGATGAGATTACACTGAAACACTCGGTGCATTGGCACGTGAAGTGTGTTTACGTGAAGGCATTCCTTCCATACGGTTTGATGTTGCGTTTGGTCTTTCTTGTTTTTCTTTCATCCTCTTTTCTCCTGAAAGCAAATCAGAATGCGTTAGCTCATGGCTCACTGGGCGGCTGTGGTGGCAGAAATACCGCTGACACTTTACCATTTTCCATTACAGCATCTAAAAATACTCCACGTATAAGGGGTGAATTGTGGATATTCTGCACTCGTCTCCCGGGAAGGTTCAATCCCCAGCTCCTGCAGCCAAATGTCCAATGTGTCCTTGGTCCAGCGTGGTTAAGACACCCAAAGATGGATCTGCTCCCACTGCTTCTTCAGCAGTGTATGATTATGTATGAATGGGAATAGTTAATACTGATGGACACTTCATATGGCAACAATCAGTGTGTGAATGGGCGTAAATGAGTAGGAGTGACCTGCAGTCTAAAAGTGCTTTGAGTAGTCAGAAGACTAGAAAAGTGCTATACAAGCTCAATTCCACAAATCCTGGGATTAAAACTATGTTCTCAAGACATCACTCAATACACTGCAATATAATAAATACGATTTCTGATAAACTTCCTCAAAATGCTTGTATTTACATAATGGCCGGAAAAACTACCTAAATACAGTCTGACCACAAAACAAAAGCCTGCTACAACAGCACTCATTTTTAGCAGTGTAATGTAGAATCAGAAAACAACAGAATGCCTATGTGCTCGTTACCATACTCACTGTTGATGTTAAGATGTCAGAAAAAATTATCTATTTTATTTTATTTTGTTACTGCAGGTGGTTGCCTTATACAGGCAGACTGTATAGGGACACTTTTAATGTGAACATTCTGGAGAAAATTATTTCTTAGCACTCTTCGAGGAAAAGGAAAACAAGAATGGCCTCCCTGACTTTTGTAGCAATCAATCATGTTGCCAGATCCAAAGGCATACTGGAGAGTTATATTTACTAATGCTTACAGCTTGAGCAACTGAATCAATGCAGATTACTCTGTTTGTGAAGGAACACTGCCATTCTCTGTTTATTGTGTGACATTAGGAGTCAATTTAGTCTTTCAATCATTCTGTTAGTTTTAAGTTGTTCTCAATGGAAATGCCACAGGAGAAGAAAATATCGCACTGTCATGAAATACATTGCTCCTAGAAATATCAGCATGTGGATGAAACTGCCAAATGACTGTACATCATCTCCCTGAACTTACATTTCATTTGTATGTTGGAGAAAACCGATGTCCATTTGTCCTCAACTTTTCTGATATTGAAATTGCAAAAGTAAAACAAATATGTATTAGCAGTCTGGAGTGTTTCGCACACAGGGATTTTAAATATCTTGAACTAATTATTTTAGTCTCTTACCACTTTCTAACTGAACATATGCAAAAAGCAACAGTGAAAGTTGCTAGGTGACCGAAAACATTATTTTGAGCTACTTTTTTGACGCAGTAGTTTTCTATCTGTCGACTATTCTGTACAAAGCCCTGACCTTTCTGCTGCTGCTGAGAGGAGACGAGTAGCAAAGAAGGAATGGGTGAGTGTTCATAAAATCCTCAGGGTCCAACAGGATTCAGGGGAGTTTAGGCCCATCCAGGAGCTGCAGCTCTATACAACAGCCAATTCACAAACATGACACACATTTCTGCTGTTTTTTTTCAAACGCCCAAACGGTTGGACATTTCTTCTCCAACTAGACATTGCTCTCCAATGTTTAAGTAGCACATGAAAGTGGGACACAGTTAGTTAGCAATGTTAGTGATCTGATCTGAGGTGATATTATTGAGCACTGTGCCCAAGTAGGTTTTTTTTTTTTTTTTTACTTTAGCGCAGCACGAAGACCGGCAAGAGAAATCTCGCACTACCCTCATCTCAGCGCCAATAGGCTCTAGTTACTTGCAGCACATAGTCAATGAATAGGTTTTAGAGCGGCACACAGCACATCCTATCCTATCTCCTAGGTCGTTCACTCTTAAAATATTATCAAGTACTACAGTTAAGTTTGTACTCAGTTACTTTTTACGGCTCTATGCTTGAAGTGACATTGCTCCTTAATGAAGCCTTCTCATATTAAACTTCTGTCGACAAGTTTTACATTAAGATGTGACACACCAGAGCTCCATTCAGAAACACATCATGTGTTTCCCACAGCAGCCTGC